GGGTCCTCTGAAGAGCAGATAGTGCTCTTAACTGCTGAGCCATCTCTCCAGCCCCATATGTGGAGCAAATTTTAACAGAATTTAACAAACTTAGTAAGGTTCTATTTTGTGCCAGTTACTATATCAACTGGTAGAGAAACAGATGGATAAGGAAAATGAATTATCATATAATAAACACATTTAAAATAAAAAGGTTTTCAAAGGCTTTTTTTTTTTTTTAAAGAGGAAGGGGAACTTAAAAGATAAATGTGATCCCACTTTTAAGAGACAAAGCCATTTCAGGAAAGGATACAGGAGGGAAAAAGAGGGATGGCTGTGTATTCACAAAAGCCAAGACATGAAATACACCCAGATGTGCACTGGCGGATGAAAATGTGTTATCTATACACACCAGTGTCCTATCCACTCATAAAACAGGATAAAATCCTGTCTTTTGCTGCATCAAGAATGGAGCTGGAAGGCATTATTGTAGCTGGAGGAAGTTCGGCACAGAAAGACAAATACTGCATGTCCTTACTTACATGTAGCAGATGAAATAATTGATTTCACGAAGGTGCAAAGTAGAATGAATAATGGTCACCAACGGCTAAGGACAGTAAAGAGGTAGGAGAGGGCTGGTACTGAGTATAAAGGGCCAGTTGGGGTAGATGAAATGCCTTCTAATGTTCCAGAGAACCACAGGGAAACCATGGTGGACAACAAATAATTGTGTCTTTCAAAACAGCTAGAAAAGAGTTTGAATCATCTCACCACAAAGAAACAGGGTGATGGAGACACCAGCTATCCTGGGATGACCATATACTGCATACTTGAGCCATCACACTGGGTCTCACACATACAGGTTTTATGCATTTTGAAATTCTTCTTCTTCTTCTTCTTCTTCTTCTTCTTCTTCTTCTTCTTCTTCTTCTTCTTCTTCTTCTTCTTCTTCTTCTTTTTGGTTTTTGGAGATAGGGTTTCTTTGTGTAGTTTTGGTGCCTGGCCTGGATCTCACTCTGTAGACCAGGCTGGCCTTGAACTCACAGAGATCCGCCTGGCTCTGCCTCCTGAGTGCTGGGATTAAAGGCGTGTGCCACTGCTGCCCTGCGCATTTTTAATTTTTAAAAAATTAAAGATAAGCATAAAGAGTGCAAGGTAAGTACAAAACGAAGCCTGGAATTGCACTTGACTGTCATTTCAGAATTTGGAATAGGGGTATGGAGTGGGAAATTTTACTGAAAAAGTGAACTGGAAATGGAAGAATTGTATAATGACTTTGGGAAACCTCCTAGTTTCTTAGAAAGTTAAACAGAAATTTAGTGTAGACATGAACAATTTTATTTTTAAGTTTGCATCTAAAGGCACATAATGACTTGTGTATGAATATATAATGTTCATAGCAATACTGTCTATGATAGTCACAAAAGTGGACTCCAAAATTATCAGCTGGCAAAAGGATAAATAAAACACGAGGTAGCTATGCAAGGGATACATGCATGAACAATAAAAAAAGTATGAATACAGGATGAGCTAGAACATGATGGTCCTGAAAGGAAAAGCCAGGAATAAAGGACTAAATATTGTGTGGTTTCATTTATATGAAATGCCCCAAGAGACAAACCTGGAGATTTGGGCTGGAGAGAAGGCTCAGTGGCTAGGAGTGTTTGTTGAACAACCACGAGAAGCAGAGTTCAAATTCCAGCACCCCTACCACAAGCTGTAACAGCAGCTCTGAAATGGGTAGAGATAAAAGGAGAGCTGAGCTTTACTGGGGGCTAGCCTACATATGAAAACTAGAGCCTCTTGGTTCAGGGAGAGCCCTTGCCTCATGGGAATAGACAGGGAGTGACAAAGGAGGACACTTGACATTTTCTTCTGACCACCAGAATGTGCACACAAAACGTGTGTATATACTTACTCAGACACATACGCACAGAAATAATTATATAAGTACATCTTTTGGGAAAGGACAGAAAAGAATGAAAGGCTGCTTAGTGATGGGGTGTGAATAGCAACTATCTTCCAATGTACATAAGAAATGGACTCATGCCGGGTGGTGGTGGCACACACTTTTAATCCCAGCACTCAGGAGGAAGAGCCAGGAGGATCTCTGTGAGTTCTCGGCCAGCCTGGGCAATAGAGCATGATCCAGGACAGGCACCAAAACTACACAGAGAAACCCTGTCTCAGAAAAGAAAAAGAAATGGACTTGTTCTCCAAGTAGACTTTGTTTATGGATCACTGACTAAAAAACACATTGAATTTTACTAACGGGTGAAGAAAGTTTTTGTTGTTGTTGTTGGGAAATTCACTTAGATAACTTTAATAGAAACATCATAGTTAAGTAACTATGTTGTAATATTAAAGACAATTCTGAGACTGAGTTGAATAAAGCCCCGAGCACTCAAACCAGTAAAAGAACATAAATCATTCCACTAATCTTACAGAACATGGGCATAGAGGCTAAGGAAGCAAAGAGAAAAAATGGTAAAGGAAAACCACAAATTATGATGGAAGAATATCAGTAATTCCTTGGATTAAATTCATCTATCAAAGAAAAACTCATGGAAATATTAAATGTACAAATGTGGAAAATAAGCACTGTACAAATAGTAGGCAAAAGAAGAGTGGTTTATTAGAAACAACAATTTTACATTAAGCACTTAGCATGAAAAATGGTAATGAGAGGCACTACATAGTAAGAATCAATCATGATTTGTAATGGAGTATATAATCTGAGAAATGTACCAGGGACTCGGTGTCTGCCTTCTATTCTGCTGGGTCTTCATGACTTAGCAAATAATAGGTATTCCATAAATATTACTGAATGGAATCATTACCCAATCACACTGAAAGGATCTGTTGGTTTGACATACTACAGAGGAAAGGGCTGTGTCTTAGGGATTCTCTGGCTGTGGTAAAACACTATCACATAAGCAACTTGAAGAAGAAAAGGTTTATTCCATCTTACAGTTTGTAGTCCATCATCCAGGGATGTCAGGGAAAGAATTTGGAGGCAGAAACTAAAGTAGAGGCCATGGAGGAATGTTTATTGGCTTGCCTAGACCGCTTTTTTGTAGTACCCATGTCCAGGGATGGCACCACCCACAGTCAGCTGGGCCCTCCAACTGTAATTAAAAACTGCACTACAGACTTGCCCACAGGGAAATCTTATGGAGGCATTTTCTCAATTAAGAGTCCCTTTCCAAAAATGACTCTATTAGCCAGGATGGAAGGTGCCTAGGCACCAATATTCAGTATATGGGACAGGAGAGATGGCTCAGTAGTTAACAGTACTTGCTACTTTTCCAGGGGATCTGAGTTTGATTCCCAGCAGCCACATTGGGTGGCTCACAGTTACCTGTAACTGTAGCTCCTTGGGAGCCCACATCTGCTGGCTTCCATGGGCACCCACCCAATGGAGTGTATATACAGACAGACATGTGCACGGAAACAAAAATAATAAAAATATTTTAAAAGATCAAGTCTTTTAAAGACAGCAGGCACTCCTGGTATGATAGTAAATCATCACTATCACAATTCAAGGGTAATTTCTTTCATAACATTTTCCTTGTTTCTGCACACAATGTCATACTCCTTGTTTCTACTTTCATAGAACTCGTAATTTGAACTATCACACGTAGCAATTGTTATGTGTTTTAAATTGCTCTTGCTATTACAAATCTTGCTTCCCTTCAAAAACATTTTAGCATTTTGAAGACAGGGAAGGTGCTGTATACTATAATTGCCTTTCCAGGTACTTAAATGAATTTTATATAATAAACTTAAGTTTTATTATTGGTGCCATTAGATAAGTATGGGCTACACATAATGTTACAAGTCAAGGCTTCCAAGAAGTGACTGGAGACGGGCTCATGTGCAAGGAATATGAAGAGGTTAATGGCAGGAAAGGAGAACACAGCTCGTGTGTGGTGTTGTTTCAAGTCTGTGTTGTATTTTTTCTGGCAAAGCAGTGCAGTAAGGATGCCTACCCATCTTCAAAAGAGCAGGTGTGGGAAGTGAGAGGAAGATGTTTAGGAAAGAGGGCAGGACATGTCCTTCATTATACTCTGGACAACCCCTGGAGCTGCTCTTCTACTGGTAGGCATTGTGTTAGGAGTTTGAGGCCAAAAGGAAAATCCCAAGTAAACAGCTAATTTAATCCACTCAAACTCTTTAGGAAAGACAGGGAGGGATGTTTTCCATTTACAGACATGTGGAGGGAATCTTCGAGTTGTTCCTAATTGGGAAATTGCAAGGGATTAACAACCTGTATTGGTAACATCTCAGACACACAGCCTCGATATATTCAAACAGGACCCTGAGATAAAGTAGGGAGATGGGTTGGCTGACCTCCCAAGGTCTTTTCCATTCCCACGGTTATATACTGAATCCCACATTTTTCCCATTTGTGCTCGCACACATGCCTGCAGTCAGTTTTATAGTAAGTCCTCTGGGCTGTCTTCCAGGTTTAGTACACTGCCACACAAGGCTGCTAGCACTCAACAAATGATTGAAATATTTGTTGAATGAAGGAATAAATGAATCGTGTTTAAATAGGGCTCACATGATCTACCCAGCTGTAGGGCATAGAGGACTGGTAAGGGAGCATATAAACACACACACACACACACACACACACACACACACACACACACACACACTCACACACACACATCCTCACACTCTAACCTTGGGTAAGGGAGCATAAATACACACACACACACACACACACACACACACACACACACACACACACTCACACTCTAACCTTGGGAAAGCACAGTCCACCTGCTCAGCGAGCAGGCTGCGTGAGTTCCCTTGGCAGGGATCCTGTCTGCTGCTTCTAAACGCTGTATCCAGAAGGTCACTTCACCCAAATATAGGACAGCTTCCCTTGGTCTCCGATACAAAGTTTGTCAAGATTCAGTGCGGGTCTCCCCTGGGGCGCGTCCGCACTCCCACCCCTACTCCGGGTGCCCCTGGCGCACAGCTGATCCTCCCGCAGCGCCCCGCCTTACCTTGGTGAGCTGAGCGATTTTCTTGCACATTTTCACGTGCATCTCGGGATCACAGTCCATTCTCCAGCCCGAGCCAGCGCGGGCGTCGGCTTTAGAGCTCGCGCAGGTTCCTGGCGGCTGGATTTTGCTGTTGAGGGCAGATGCCATGGCTTTAAGGCGCCCTGCACTGAAAAGCTCTGGTTCGCGCTCTCCCTGCTGGCCGTGTGCACGTGCGTGCGAGCGCGGGCGTGAGGACTTTCTCCAGAGAGGTGGCACTGCGGTCTTGCCAGCACAGCAGCGTGGCTCCCCTTCCCGGAGGTGTCGCCCTCCCGGGCCCACTCGCGCACCCACCTTCCTCTGCTCGTGCTCGTTCGCGGGCTAGCTGGCTCACGGGCACCCGCACCCTGCAGCGTGGCGCTGGCGCCCTGCACGTGGGGTTCACGATCTGCGGATGTTTCCGAGAGGGTGCGGGTTACACCTGCAAGAGGACAGCTTCTGAGGGGTGTTCTGGAGGAGAGGAGGTTGCCCTGGACGGTAGTTTTCGTGGGCAACTGGGTGGCATGGGGGCTCCCAACTCTGCTAGGAACGATCCAGCCCGTGGTGGATAGCCCAAGCTAAGAAGAAAAATTGCTGGCCTTAGTCCCTAGCAGACCTGCGAGTCCGAATAAAAATACCCCTAAATCCTGTGAATTGGTAGTAGATGGGACAGGTGAGACAGCAGGTCTGTTACCTGCAGTCCTGATGCTTGGAGGGTGAAGGTAGGGGGCGGGATGCTGAGGGTCAGGAGGTAGAATTGGGGGGGGGGGAGGCTAATCACTCTGATTCAAGGAGGTTGGGATCCAGAGCTCAAGATGGGACAGTGCTGGAGCCTCAGAACCACAGAGCTGGACTAACTGGGAGCGCCCCCAACCCCTTTCCCAAGCTTGGACAGGAGCCTGCTCAGTGCCAAATGCTAGAGATCTCCAGAAACATCAAGTCTAAGGCCAACAGTGACTGAAACGGGGAAAAACCCACATAACCTACAGTAGGGAAAGGAATAGCAGCACAGAAAAAGTCCTGCGGGAGGTGTAGAGAGGGTGGTAGCGGGTAGGCACAAGGAGCATCAGATGGGGCTGAACAGCCAAGCCTATCCAGTTAAAGTGAAGCGGCTCATCAAAACTGTACCATTATCTCGGATGGACCTGAGGCTGAATCTGGTCGCATTTTGAAGTTGCTGCCTTTAGTTTGGGAAGGAGGTGGGTAGTGAGCTAAAGAACTAAAATCCTTCTGGCTTTCTTTGCTTTTAAACAGTGGACTTTGGAAAATACGATAGAACCCAGGTCAGATTTTTCTGAAGTGTGAATAGTGTCATCGTTATGAGTTTTCATGGCTAATATATTTTATTTTACAAACTGTCTGACCTTCCATACTGGAGGTGATAATACTCGTTTTTATAGGTGAGGTAACTTAACAGTTGGGTGAGAAATGGAGAGACACTGATACTACTACTGTGGAGTCATACCCGCCTTCCCAGGCATTCACAGGACCCGCAATAGCCACCAAGAGAATCTTAGGCCTTATCCTAGAACTCCTTGGGACAAAATCTCGGGCCATCAGGGCCAGGAGTCCATGTATTCAAAACAAGCTCCCTATTTAATTCCAAGTTGTATAGAATGCCATCTGTAGGATCTTAATAATACGCCAACTTTTACAGGAATACAACCACTGTGCTAATGAGAAGAAAATTAGCCTTCATGGAACCAGAACATTGAACCAAAAATTATTCACCATTTTGGATTATCGCTTCAGTGGCCCTGTGACTCATGATATTTGGGTGTGAACACACACACACCACAATGGTCACATTCCTGGTGAGTCTCCTAACATGTGCAAGCACTTGAGTACTACATTGTAATAAAGTTAATCATACATATTTAATTGTAATTTCATCCCTTTCATTTCTTTTTTTCCCTTTCATTTCTACTTTGCATTAATGTTGAGAAATTGAGCTAATTTTAAAATATGTGTTGGGGCTGGGTATGGTGGCAAACTCCTGAAATCCAAGTACTCTGAATCAGAAGCATAGTTTCTCAATCTTCTCTCCCAAGGGAGATATAAAAACAAAACACCTTGTCACAAAATGACAACATTTGCATTGAGATTTCATTAAGCATATTCATGTAACACCACAGAGAATATGGCATTTTGGAATAAAATGTGTTGAGGCAAAAATACAATGGGGTTACATAAAATATTAACATGATTATTAGGAGCACCACAATTTGTTTTGGAAATAGCTGCCTATAAGTACTTGGTAATATTGTTTCCAGCTTCCTACCCGAAAACTGTGCTAGAGGCAATGGATGTGGAGTCTAGTGAAAAAAGAAAAGAGGCAGGCACAAACTCCTTCTCAGTTCAGGAAACAATCAGTTTGCAAAGTACATTGACTTTAGAGAACATGGACAGAATGAATCTGGCATTAGTAGAGTTTTACTTCTGGTCTTTTTCTAGAGTTCAAATAAATGGAACTCAAAGGAGGAATGGACCTGAAACTTTCTAGTTACATTTGTAGCAAATTTTCCTCACCGAAGCAAATATTTAAATACAAATAAGTATTGGTAATGCAGTTGATAGACAGTTGAATATTGAAATACAGTTACATCTTTTAAAATGAATCTAAAATTTAGTATGCATGAGTGTTTTGCCTGTATGTATGTCTGTGAACCATATGCATTCCTGGTACCTGCAGAGGCAAGGAGGGAGTTACAGATGGTTGGGAGTTGCTGTGTGAGTGCTGGGAATTGAACCGGGGGGCCTCTGCAACAGCCAGTGCTGATTACCTTGGAGTCATTCTTCAGCCCCCCAATTGTTATTTCTTAATTTCTCTCTCTAGATCTGACCACTGCCTCATTTTAATCATTTTATCATGTTACTGTAATACACACACACACACACACACACACACACACACACACACACACACACACATCACCAAGAGCATTTACATGGAGCTAGAAACTCTCAAGTCTCAGTAAACCCTGCAATCATTAGGAACTTGATTAAATGAGTACTGTGCCTCCCCACCTCAGAAACTTTTGATTCCCTAGGACTAGGCTGAGGCAATACAAACAATTACTTCTGTTACAGTGCTGTTGAGCACTGCAAACACTAATCTGAATACTGCTTTAATGACACAAGCAAGCCCTGGCAGTTCCCTCTCTGTCTTCTAGCTTTGTAATGTTTCCCTCACCCCTTCTCCTATTCCAGTTCCGTCAGCCTTCAAGCCTTGGCTCAAGTTACAACTCCTGAATCCTAGATAGCCCTGGCCTGACTATGCCAGGCAGAGAGAGTTGAGCTTCCACAGCAGTAGTCATTTGATGAAACTTTTGGAATATTACATTTCACTAGTATATTATGATTATAACTCTGATATTTCAAATGAAACAACAGAAACTTAAATATTTTAGAATTATTTTTTTCATTTTGAAATTTGGGATTCGGAAGTCCAGTTTTTAGTTCAGTTTCAACACTGATTTTAATAACTGTTATAACTTAAACACCTATAAAACTTCATAAACTCATGGGAAGGATTTCAGTACAAATACAATTAACAAATAAGTTAAATGATCAACTATGCAACCAGATTCACCAATTTGTGTGAGAGACTTTGTAGCAATTTTGTTCAAACTCAGTAGTTACGTTTTCCTTGACTAATCAATTCTTAGGAGTTATTCATAAACTATTGCATTTAAACACATTTTTGTAATAGGTAATATGTTCATAAGGTACAATATTAAACATGAGAAAAATGAAGTCTTCCTCAAAACTCTTTTGTTAGTCTTCAGCTCTCTCTCCTACAGACAACCACACCTGGGCATTTAAAGCAAGATTCTGAACCACTGTGTACTTAAATATCACATTGAATGAGGAAGCACATAGTTCTCCCATACCATATCACTTCCTATTCATCATCCTTATTTGATTAGAATTTCACTAGGGACTATAGGAATCATGAATATGAGGGCAGCAAGAGTTATTCCTACTAGTTACATAACCTCTTCACTTATGATTTTTTTTAAAGTTTTTTAACTTTCTATTTTTATTTTATGTGAAATGATGTTCTGCTTACCTGTATGTCTGTAGACCGTGTGTGTTAGATCCCGTGAAACCGGAGTTACAGACAGTTGTGCACTGCCATGTAGGTGCTGGGAATTGAACCTAGATCCTCTGGAAGAGCAAACAGTGCTCTTAACATGAGCCATCTGTCCAACCCCCTGACTTCAGATTTTTAAAGAGCTCTACAATAGCTACGGTTGCAATGAAGTCTGGGTTTGGGTTGGCATCAGGATCTAACACTACCCGGAGGCACTGGCTTTGGCCTTTGGCAGGCTAAACAGTAGCTGCCTCCTTCTCTTATTCTGACACTTCTATAATTGTAAAAGATCAAAAGCAATGGTTCTGTGTTAGATAAACATCAAATTTAGTGACTGTATTATTTTACTCTTCCACCAGTAATACATGGAAGTTCATTTTGGTATATATATTTGCATACTTTATATTTTGCCTTTTATTTTACACATTCTAGTGGTGGCATACTAGTATCTTACTGTGGCTTTAATTTACATGATTAGTAATGTTAAGCACATTTTTATATTTTTATTAGCTATTCAGACGCTGCTATTGAAAATACCACTCTTGATAAAAGAATATTCATTCTGTTAGTCATTTGATAAATATATTTAGGGTGCTAATCAACACCTGCCATGTTAGCAAGGTGAGTGTATTAAATTAAGGTAGTTCTAATTGCTAACTAAACCCTGCAGTTTAGTAGTTTAACATGGTAGTGTATTTTTGCTCATAGTAAAGCCCTACTCTCTAGTCCTTGGGACCTGCTTTTCTATCTAAATGAATGAGGGGCTGTCCCCTTCTGTCTTGTGGCTTCACATCCCTCAAGACTTGTGACCATCTGTACTTAACCAGAAACAGCAATAAAGGAACAAATGAGGATAAAAATCTCGTCATGGATAAAGCTCACATGACTGAGCAAGACAGCTCAGGCAGTGAAGGTGCTTGCCTCCAAGACTGATGACTTGAGTTTGATTCCTGGAATGCACGTGGTGGAAGAAAAGAACCAGTTCTCACAGGTTGTCCTCTGCCTAGCACCTGTGTGCTGGGATATGTGCACACACACAAATATATAAATGTAAAAATATTAAGATAATTTGTTCTGTACATCTACTGATGTCCCACTGAGACTAAATTATCACAGGCACTCCCTAGCTGTTATGAGGTCTGAGAAATAGAATTCCTATTGGGTGGCAATTTCTCATAATTCTACTCCAAAAGGGGAAGTACATATTTTTGACAGACATACAACTGTGACAAATATTTTAGCCTTAATATTGATATGTGAATGTTCATTTTTTATTTTTATTCTTATTTATTTATTTATTTTTTCTTTTTCGAGACAGGGTTTCTCTGTGTACTTTGCGCCTTTCCTGGAACTCACTTTGGAGATCAGGCTGGCCTCGAACTCACAGAGATCTGCCTGCCTCTGCCTCCCGAGTGCTGGGATTAAATGTTCATTTTTAAACAAAGGTAACATGCTGTATATGAACTGTAAAACTTTTATCATAAAATGTAAACTTTATGGAGGCAAGAATTTTTATCTGTTTCATGTACTGCTAAAGCCCCAGTGAGTAGAATGGTGTTTGGCATAACAACACTATTATGAACTTAAATATTTATCAAATATAAAGTGTTTGCAAATATACATACCCAAATGAACTTCCATGTATTACTGGTAAAAGAGTAAAATGATACAATCACTTTGGAAAGTGTATGGCAGTTTTACTACAACTAAGCACACATCACTTATGACAAGTCAGTTTGACTCCAAGGTTTACATAAAAAAGGAATGAGTGTACATATCCACAAAAACACAGAATTTTCATGACAACTCAAACTTGTTAAGAATTCCACAATGGATGAAAGATAAAATGAATTGTGGTAATTCATATGATAAATTACAGGAATAATGAACCAGTATGTTGAAGAAAGAAGCTGAGTATAATATATCATATAGTGTATGATCCAATTCACATGAAATCTGAGGAAAAACAAAATTAACCAACCTTTATAAAAGTAGCTATTTCTGGCAAGGTATAGACTAGCAGATCAGAAATTTTTGTGCTATAATCTGAGTGTATATATCTTGATATGATATTGGCATCATACATTTGTGAAGAAGCACCAAGAAGTATACTTATAATTGGTGCAATATATATTATATATAATGTAATATAACATATATTATATTATATTATATTATGTTATGTTATGTTATGTTATATTATATTATATTATATTATATATTATAGGTTACTTCTTATTAAAAAAAAGATGAAGGGCAGATAGGACTGCCATAGTTTACACAATGATATCCTAATAGTGCATTTATCACTCACAATAAATTTATTCTGAGATTATATATAAAAAGGAATAGAAAAAAACCTGAAGTATATTTATAGAAAAAACATCTGAAATACACAGGAATGCATTGTAGACTAGTCACTAGGTTTAACTATATATTTAATAGGAAAAGTAGTATGGAAGGTGCAAAGTATATGTATTTTCAAAATACGTTTTTCAAAAAGTATATAATTACTGGTAAGAGATGCTGTTACATGACTTTAATTCCAACACTTGGGAGACAAAAGCAAGAAGATTTCTGATTTTAAGGCCAGCCTAGTCTGGTCTACATAGTAAGTTCTAGGTCATCCAGAGCTACACAGTGATACTGTCTCACCCCACCTCACCCCACCCCACCCCCAAAAGGGGAGCAAATTCCTAATTCTTTTGATTATGGAAACTAAAACTTAAATGAGAACTTATTGAAGTTCCTGCTATCAACTACACATTATTCCTGAAAGTTAAAGAGAAGGTTTGCTTGAGCAAGGTGCAACATTCCTTTTGTAAAGCAGCCTCCTGCAAACCTTGGTTTTTGAAAACAGCTTCTACAGTGTACATCTTGAAAGTAAGCATTGAATGCAATTGTGGAACATGATGCCTGGAAGACCAATCTAGAAATTGACAAAAAAAATCTCATTGTATTTTTAATGACAAACTTCCAGAATCTGACGATTAAACAAAGATCATACTCTTGGAAAAAGCAGAAATTTAGATTTATTCTTATGACAGGGACACTCATCTGAAACACATATTTAGCATACTTTTAATTTGTTACTTAGTTGCCCATGTGCTTATCTCTTTCCTTCATGCTCCAACATCTATCTTACTCTTTTTACTTGCTCTATGCACTCAGACACTTTAAGTTTTCCTAGAGACCTCTTCTTGGACTCCCATTCTACTTACTTGACACGACAGTTATCTTGAAACTCTCCTTCATTGCTCTTTTCTGTGCAGTAAAACTTCAATGATCCCCAACGGCTTAAACTACTCTCCCTTGTTTGATGAAGCACATAATCCGGTATCCTAAAGAAGAGTAGATGGGAGTTAAAAAATTCAAGACCATGCAAGCTTAATGATACATTTACTTCAGCTTCTTGCCTGACTACATTTTGTCTGGGCACAGAATTCTAGGCTGGGAATAATGTTTCCTCCTAAATGAAAGACTTCACTTTCATTGCCTTTCAGAATTCAGTGTTGTTCTCAAGTCCATAAAGGCCATTTTTGTGTAACTTGTTTTTTCTTCCCCCTTTGAGATCATTTAGTAGCTTCTTTAAGTCTATCTGCCTGAATATAATAATGTGGTGATTTGAATGAGAATGGTCTTCATACTCTCATATATTTGTATACTTGATCCCCAGTTGGTGGAATTGTTTGGGAAGGATTAGTGGATGTGACCTTATTGGAGCAGGTGTAAAAACCCACACCATTTCCAGTTAGTGCTCTCTCTCTTTCTCTCTCTCTCTCTCTCTCTCTCTCTCTCTCTCTCTCTCTCTCTCTCTCTCTCTCTCTCTCTCTCTCCCTCCCTCCCTCCCTCCCTCCCTCTTTCTCCTCCCTGCCCCCTCCTGCTTGTGGATCATATGTAAGCTCTCTGATAGTGCTGCAGTGCTATTCCTGCCTGCCTGCTGCCATGTTCCCTACAATGTCCATGGACTCTAACCCTCTGGAACCATGAGCCCAAAATTAAATGCTTTGGTTATTAAAGTTGCCTTGGTCATGTTATTTTATCACAGCAATTCAAAAATACCTAAGACAAATAATACACTAAAAATTAAAACTATCTGTTGCATTAGGCAATTTATAAGACCTTTAAGAGACTAATGTGCCAGTTTTAAGAACTTTCCATTTCATATCTGTCCTGCTTAGTTTTATCTCAACTTGACATAAACTAGTCATCTGGGAAGAAGATGCATCTGGAAGAAATAACGCATCCAGAAGACTGGCCCATAGGCAACTCCATCAGGTATTTTCTTGATTGATGATTGGTGTAGGAGGGCCCAGCCTACTGTGGGTAGTACCATCCCTGGAAGGTGGTCCTGGATTATAGAAGTAGGCTGAGCAAGCCATGGGGTTCCTCTATGACTTCTGCTTCAGTTCCTGCCTTGAATTCCTTCCTGAACTTCCCTAGTGATAGAGTGTGACTTGAGAGTCCTCAGATGAAATAAACCTTTTCCTCTCCAACTTGCTTTTCATTATGGATGTTTTATAACAACAACCTAAGACAGTATTCTTTCTGTTATTGCTGTGGGATGTTCTGTATGGCAAATGTGTTGCTGATTAGTCAATAAATAAAACACTGATTGGCCAATGGCTAGGCAGGAAGTGTAGGTGGGACAAGGAGGAGAATAAAGCTGGGAAGTGGAAGGCTGAGTCAGAGAGACACTGCCAGCCGCCACGATGAGAAACAGCATATGAAGATGCCGGTAAGCCACGAGCTACGTGGCAAGGTATAAATTTATAGAAATGGATTAATTTAAGCTGTAAGAACAGTTAGCAAGAAGCCTGCCACGGCCATACAGTTTGTAACCAATATAAGTCTCTGTGTTTACTTGGTCGGGTCTGAGCGGCTGTGGGACTGGCAGGTGAGAGAGATTTGCCCTGACTGTGGGCCAGGCAGGAAAACTCTAGCTACATGTTATCATATTGGGAAGCCACTAAACAGATGGAGTATTTCATTCTGAAATAGTTTTCTTTTTTATAACATCCCTGCCTTCATGCTCTATTTTCTGAAATTTGTGCAACTTTTTACATTAAGATTCACAATGCTAGCTGGAAACCCAGCACTTGGGTGGCAGAGGCAGGTGGATTTATGAGTTTGAGGCCAACCTGGTATACAGAGCAAGTTCCAGGACAGACAGAGCTACAGAGAAACCCTGCCTCAAGGAAAAAAAAAAGATTCAGAATGTTCAGAATGCTAAATTTGTGTTCTATTTTTCCAATAGTTCTTTTTGGTTCTCATTTCATGGATGTAGTATACTCCCCTGCATGGAATATTATTTTAACTGGACAAAGATATATGTGTTATATTTGTTTATGCTACTGAATATTACTTTAACTGTGTAAAGGTGTGTTGCTTTTGCTTATGTTGCATTTGCTTAATTATATAAAGATGTGTTGCATTGCTTCACCTTGCCTGCCTAAGGCACCTGATCGGTCTAATAAAGAGATGAACTGCCAATAGCTAGGCAGAGAAAGGATAGGTGAGGCTGGCGGGAAGAGAGAATAAGTAGGAGAAATCTAGGCTGGAGAAGAGAAGGAGAGGGAGAGGGACATGCCTGAGGCAAGAAGACAGGCAGCCACCAGCCAGCCAGACATAAAAAGCAGTGAAGAAGGAAAGAAAAGTAAAAAGCCCCAATGCAAAAGGTAGATAAAAAGAAACCGGTTAATTTAAAAGAGCTAGACAGAAATGAGCCTAAGCTAGGCCCAGCATTCAAAACTAATAAGAAGTCTCAGTATCATGATTTGGGAGCTGGTTGGTGGCCTAAAAGAAAAACCCTGAAAAATGTCTGCTGTAAATCAAACAGTGAAGGGGAAGATGAATAGGAATCTCACTCACACAACTTAAGTAAAACATAGCTCTCCGAACAGATGAAGATAGGTTTTTTCTGTATCCCAGAATCTAATCAATATTTATATGTATAATTCAGCTATTATTTGACTTAAGAGGGCTAATTGGGAAATGTTATCATTTTTACTATTTTCTACAGAGAAATTTTTTTCCAGTTTCAAATAACCCTGGACTTTTGAATTATAACCTGTTTTTTTGTTAAAAAAAGCCTGTTATGATTAAAAAAAAAGACACCAGCCTGTGTGCTACTGTTCAACAGGCAAATCAAGAAAATATGGTATGCATACACAGTGGAGTTTTATTTAGCCCTAAGAAGATTGACTATTATCAATATTTACTAAGTGAGTCTATCATGGATGCCTGGAACTTAAATACATAATACTCCAATGGGAGTGTTCATATACCTAAAAAAAAAAATTCAGTTTGAAGTCCAGCCTGCATTTAAGAGGACAATCAATCAACAGCTGTCCTCAATGAGAGATATACCAAAGAATTTGTGGGTTCTCCACAGCTATATCACTTTTTAGCCAGAAGAAAGATCTCTCTGCCCTTGGTTGTTCTGGTCTCTAAAATAAAAATGAGAAAGTAACTCAAAAACAAAACAAAATAAAACAAAACACATTTTCAGTCTCTGAAATTGAGATTTGTCTTACAGTCAATGTCAACCCAATTGACTGCTGGAGTGACTTTGTTTCTTAGTGTTACATAGAATGATGGTGCACATTAGTAACATGTGCTCATGCTGTAAAAGCTTGTTGCGGCTCTGCAGTAGCCAAAAAGCTCAGCTATTTCTGAAGAAAAGACTGGAGCTGTGGTGGAGACATCCAATGGAATGCAGGATAAGAATGAAAAATAATTCTATACCCTGCTGTGATAACCAGAACACGCTGCTAAATGAAAAAGGATGGAGGGAAAATGTCAGTCAGATGTGCCTGTTTATATGCAAGATGGGTATATACATATTTATGTATACATATAAATATTCTTATGTATTCAAAACTGAAAATGAGACAAAAAGGTTTAACTGTATTAAAAAGGTATTTTGCAAGCTATGGAAAGTGAAAGAATGAAGTAGAAGGAACAAGAATAAAAAGCCAATTTTTCAGAATATTAAAAAAAATAAGAAAAGAAAAAAGAAAAACCCTGGTATACTCTCCTATGTTTCTGAGAATATCCTATATTCTTTGGCTGTTTTATGTTCAGTTTTCATGTTAGAGTTTCCTCAAATGTCTGGTGATTATTAGTTGTCAGTGTATATTGAGTTCAAGTGACTATAAGCTGTGTATGAATGAGTAGAGTTTGTAGACTTTGGGTCTCACTGTAGCAAATAGTCAAGCGCAAAGTTATTTTTCACTGTTCATCTTTTCTGGATGGGTTGGGCAGGTCTGGGTATATAAGCCCATAACAGCCAGAGAGAGAATGTATGCAGGACCCCAATGTTCTTAATACTGGCATCCTCAGTTGCCTTTCTTCAACATAGCATGTCACTACCTTTGTTACTGTCGTTCAGTGCTCAGTTTTGTTTTAGTTTCTCAGGAAAATAAGCCTTCTGTATTTTGCTAGGAAGTTAGTTGCCTGGCTAAAAATAAGCAAAAATATACGTTCAAAAATTTCCCTTGCTTTCAATTTTACTTCTCACCTCCACTTCATAGGTACTTCTCCCTTGAGCCTTTGAATAGTCTGGAAAGCAGCACTTGCCTTCTAAATTTGTAGACCTTTTCTTTTTATACACATTTATTTTTATTTTTAAATTGTGTTTGTGTATGTGCACAAAAGGACACTGGATTCCTTGGAGACAACAATCTTCTATCAATATGACCTTATAGCTTGACTTTCATGATTGTACCTTTAATAAACTAATGGTTTGATAGAATAAAAGAGCTCTGGTAACATAAATAAGAGAACAATAACTATATCAAGAACCCAAATTCCTTTATTCATTGAAGGCTACTATTATTGTTGGCCCTACCCAATGAATTTCACTTGAGATGGGTGGAGAACTGAACACAGGTCCTCTGCTAGAGTACCCTTGCCATGGGGCCATCTCTCTAGCCCCTTACAGACCTTTTCTACCGTGGAAACCAAATGAATGAGCTTAGCTGCCAGAACACCGTTGCCTGTACATTTTTAATAGGTAAAAGAGCAATACAGCAACCTTTTCCTCCATGAAGAACATACATACTTTAAAAGTCCACAAATAAGGAACAAGAAAACCCAACTACTTCTATGTACAAAACAGCAGCATTGTGAGAATTGGAAATGATGTAATTGTTAGTGAGGGTTGTTATTTTGGCTCAGTATCATGTGTCTCGAATAAAGTCTCTGTTCTGCTCAACTGGGCCCACTCTTCAACCCTGCAACAATTCTAACTTTGGGGCATCTATGCATGAACTTCTCTTCCTATTAGCCAAGTATTTATATGACATCAAACCAAACACAGTGCCAACAGCATATTCACAGGGCTGCCAGGTAACATAGAAGCCAGTGAAATCTGATTTTCAGATAACTGTGTTTTAGTATATGTCCATAGAAATTATGTCATCATTTCTATGGCATTCAAATTTATTTGGGTGTCCTATATATTTTCCCCCTCATTCCTTCCTTTAATAAGTTAAAAAAAATTCTGTGCTAGATGCCTCATTTTTATTTGCTAATTTGGCAACCTGGCATATTTAAGGAAACACATATTAAGTAAATGTGATCAACAAAGTAAAGTTGTGTTCAAAGAAGGAAATTTGGCTCTGAATCTTAGCTTCAAGCCACTATGAAGTCATCTTCACTTCAAGGAATCTAGGGTCTAACATGTAACACACTTTATTAAATTTTCCCATGAAATTCATTGGGCGGGGCCAACATTAGTAGTAGCCTTCAATGAATAAAGGAATTTGGATTCTTGATTAGTTATTGCCCCCTTATTTATGTTACCAGAGCTCTTTTACTCTGTCAAATCATTAGCTCATTAAAGGTACAATCATGAAAGTCAATAAGGTCTTATTGGTAGAAGATTGTTATATCCTTGCACCATTTCTGGAATATTCACAAATGGAAGTTGTTGTTGTTGGACAAATGCCCAATAAACTGTGAAACAATTGGTGATAGATTGCCAAGTCCTGTTGCACAACATAGATGGGGATGTAATATTTGGTATATGCTTAGCAGGTAATCTAAGCATTACTGTTATCCCAAAACAGAAATACTAAAGTCTACCTACTCCTTATTTTACTAACTTCTGGGTCCCGCTTTTATCTAACCAGACACATCACTTTAGTTGTGTTTCCTAGGAATTCCTTCAATCTTGTTAGGCCAAGAAAGATCTTGATCTACTGAAAGACTACTGGTTAAATATGATCTAACTCCCCAAGCAATCCCAGGAATTCTCCTGTCTCATTCCAGTCATCCAAGTTTTTTCACATAACTTGCTCCAATTTGCATCAACATATAATCCTAGGCAGTCTTCCTGCTATGCTGTTATTTTTATTATCTTAGTTAATTAGTTATATATCTATTATTTTATCTCAAATCAGGCATTTATTTTCTACATCTCATCGACATGATCTGGTCATTTCTCTTAGCTTCTGGGAGATAGTAGGCAGTAAGCATTAGTTCCCTGAGGTCTCCTTGTCTTGTCTCTCTTCTTGGTATTACTCTTAAGTGAGTATTTTTTTTTTTTAAATTTTTACTGTTGCACCCAGTTGAAAAAGACCAGCCAATTACATACAATTGTTAAACTAGGTAGTGTGGACTAAACACTGTTTAAAGATGTCAAAGATATGTATTTTCCTTCTGGAAACAAGTTAGCACATAAGAAATAGCCACTGTTAACCATTTTAGCTCAATTCCCTGAAGTTCAGCTGGTGGACTGGTATGTCAATGGCTTGCACAAAGTATTGTCATGAGGTCCAACATGTTTATCCACTTTCTGGACTTTCCTATACATCACAGCCATCTGTACAAAATATTTCTGATCCACATTTTCATGTGCAAGTGCTATGTGAAATTAGCATATTTAACCTTTTCTGTACATGAGTACTACCTATGACATTTGTTAGGGTACATCTCTACATGAATCTTCACTATACTTGAATGATTGCCCTATTCATCTTATTTAAGGTCCTCCATCACAGGCCATTTTTAAACAGTTAAAGGACCAGTGTATAGGTAAGGGTTTAGACTCACTTAAGGTGACCAAAGAGGGCAGAAACAACTTGGGGCAATGCATATAGGCTCACATATTAAAAACAAATTTCTTATGTGTCACAATCATTTTGTATTCCCAATGTGTGAATTAGAGTAGGCACTCCTATTTATTACTGAATAGACAACTCAACTTCTAAGAGAAGGCACTGTGCTAATACTGAGGTCAAAAGCAGAATGTCATCTTATTATATATGCATCAGTATGCAGACAACACAAGTCATTTCTAAGGTCTTAATTGCTCCAAATCTCCTCTAATACTGAAACATTATTTTTATTACAGGGAAATTTTTAGGTAGGTACATGATAGGAGTCACAGTAGCAAATTCCCCTGGATTGGACCTACCTGTTGAGAGCCAGGCCAATCTAAGGCTCTCAGAATACCTGACAAAAGAACAAAGGGAACACTGTTTCTGTGTCCTTGCCCAGGCACAGACTTGGCAGGGTCTGGTCTGATGCCAGGTCCAGGGTCTCTAAGGAATTAAGGTTTCAGTTCCTGGGAACCTGACTTTTCCTCCTATAGAGACTGGAGTTGTCAATCCCAAGACCACTAGGTGCTTGGTCTGTGATGGACTTGAGAGATCCTGTGTTCTCTTTATGCGCTTTTGCTTGATTAGCTTCCTGCTGACTGTGTCCCACTTCTCCCCTTGCATAGAGTATACAAGGTGATGAATTTTTCAATAAACTTGCTTACGTGAGCCATTAGCTTGTGCAAGACCTCCTGATCCCAAATTTCCCTGTTTTCTTTATTATTTCTCACCCCAGCTTCTCTCTCTTGTGAACCTATCACTGAAGAACAACCTGCTTGTCTTCCTCCAGAGGATGGCTTTTTCCTTTTTTTAGGAAACAGATGAGATTATGACATGATCATGGATGTCTATCCCTCAAGGGATCTAGAGTGCTTCAACAAAATACCACTTATTATCATTAAGAAAAACATTTTGAAATTTTTTTTATTAATGTCACCTAGTTAAGAAACCCTGTTATTTTACTTTGAGAACTATATTCATATATATATATATATACATATATATATGTATATATATATATATATATATATACATTCTTTAAATATGGTATAATTTTCCTTGATCCTACTTGTAGTGAAGACATTTAACCAGAAGCCCACACATGGGAAATGTGAGAGTGGTAAATTCATTCCAAAACCCAAGCCTCTGGCATATAAGAATAAGCAACAGCTTAAGGCTTTTATTTTGTACACTTTGGATTAAAATTCAGAAACAAATGTACTTTCAAATTTGGGTCCTAATGGAATGAAACCTTTTCTTCAAGAGAGTTTCTTTTCTTCTTTACTTAAAATATACTCCTTTATCCTTAAGACAGGACAAATCTGGTTTAGCACTTTACTCTCTTAAAATCTGCTAAATTTTACAGAATTATTAGTTTTAATTTTTACTTATTTTTGCACTCAATTATGGATAATATAAAAAGAGCAAAACTAAAATGAAGATAAATACTATTAATAACCTGTTTTCTGATTCCATTTACGTGCTCAGTCAGGATCACACATACATTTTACTATTTTAGGGTATGTAAAAAGATTTAACAGTCCTATCCATTTTCTTTATGATGATACCTGTTTTGACTCAAACAAACATAGCAGGAAACATCTACAAGGACATATACCAACCTTATTCAGGCAAAAAAAAAAAAAAAAGAAAGAAAGAAAGAAAGAAAGAAAGAAAGAAAGAAAGAAAGAAAACTTACCTACTTAGAAAACCATACTGAGCCGGGCAGTGATGGTGCACACCTTTAATCCCAGCACTCAGGAGGCAGAGGCAGGTAGATCTCTGTGAGTTCAAGGCCAGCCTGGTCTACAGAGCTAGCTCCAGGATAGCTAGGGCTTTTACACAGAGAAACCTTGTCTTGAAAAAATGAAACCAAAAAACTATACTGCTAATAAAACTCTTAATTGCAGATCAGGATAGTTTCATGGGAAGTTTCTTTAAAATTAGAGGATTTCTGAAATGTTTACAATGGATGCAAACATAAACTTCTGTTCCAGGAAATTAATACAGGTAAAATATTTTAACCCTTTTACAATTAATACTGAAAACACTGCTTCTGGTGAAAGTTGATTCTTTCCATAATTTGAATGTTTATTTGCTCTTGAAAAAAGTCTTGATACCAAGATTTAAGAAACACATTCCTTACAGAAGTCTGTTTAAATCTAGGGTATGATCTTATAGGCCAAATTAGCCAAAAAAGTCTTGATACCAAGATTTAAGAAACACATTCCTTACAGAAGTCTGTTTAAATCTAGGGTATGATCTTATAGGCCAAATTAGCCAGAGAGTCTGGTGGAGGCCATGATTCAGTGTTCATGAAGTAATTGGAGATAGCTTTACTAGGCTTGGAGTAGGGTAGGCTAGGTTTGAAATCATATTTCCCACCTTCCCCCTAAATACAACAAACAAGAACCCTTAAAAGGTGTCATATGAATATATCAATTCTTTGTATAATTATTTCAGTTAATTCAATTTCCTCCCTAAAAATAATTTCTGAGAGGGCATGCTCATTTTCTTAATTTTTTCATTTTCTTAATTTTCTCAATTTTCTGAGAGGGCATGCACATTTTCTTTAGTTGGATGATAAGACCTTTGAGTCATTAAGTAGTAGGTAGTATTTTGGCTTGTCAGGAAATATTAATTGGTTGAGAAGGCATCAGTTTTCCAAATTAGGGTGTGATTTATTTTGTAGCGCTTAAATTTTTTTGGCTTTATTTACACATTGAGTGTTCTGCCTGCATGTATGTATGTGTACCACACGCATTCCTGGTACCCAGGTTAGTCAGAAGAGTGTTGGATCCTCTGAACTGGAGTTACAGTTTTAAGCCACATTGTGGCTGCTGGGAATTGAACCTGAGCCTCTGCAATAACAAGTGCCCTTAACCTATGAGCTAAGTCTTCAGCTCCCTGTACCCTTTTCTAAATAAGCAACACTAGTATCAAAGCAAATGCTTACTGTTATCATGAAGCAGTTAGGAGTTTGTTAACTGCCTTCTGGAGATCAGTAGTAGGAAACAGTGTAAAAAAATTCAGTACAGGTTGTTTAACTCCCTTTGTCAGGCAGTCACAGAGAGAAGAAAAAAATGTCAGAGTCAGAGAAATGATTTACATATCCATGTTTGGAAAGGGCTCTACTCAGTGTTCGCATTAGCTGTTTGGTGGCAAACTGTAGTGTTCCTGTAGAGTAGCATGATGTCTAGAGAGCTGGATGGGACTTTTAAAGGGCTTTTGAAAAGGAAGGACCCCACAAGAGGCTAGAGGGGGCCATTCAGGAATTGGTTCTAGTTTGGGGACACAACGGGAGAGTCTTAGACCTGTCCCTTGAGGTTTGTGAACTGGATTGTTTTGTTATAAGAGTTCAGCATGACACAACCAAGAGTTGAGATCTAAAGGTTTCAAGTTTTAGAATATTTTAAAAGGTCCTTAACCTGGCAGGAAAGACTCTCATGAGGTGTTAGGTTGGGCATTATGGCGTCTTCTTCTTCTTCAGAGAAATCCCATCATTTTTTCTTCTTCACTTTCTGACTCTGTTAAGTGATCAGGAGATGAAATTTTGGGACCCATTAGAATAGTGGTTCTCAACCTGCGGATAGCAACCCCTTTGGAAAATCCCTATCTCCCAAAATATTTACATTATGATTTATAACAATAGCAAATTTATAGTTATGAAGTAGCAATGAAAATAAGTTTATGGTGTGTGGGGGGGTCACCACAAAATGAGGAACTGTATTAAAGGGTCTCACATTAGGATGGTTGAAAACCACTGTTTTTTTTTTTAGAACAAAATAGAACAGAACCAGAAAAAGGTGGCAATTTAAGGCAGAAGAACGCAGACCTTCAACACTGGTAAATAGAAATAAAAAAATCTTTTCATGAATTTTAATTTGTCTGTCCATTGTACATATACGGTATGCTTCAGGCCCACACTGTGCAGTCCTTGAAGATTATGCTGTGCACTATTTACTCACAAGGAAGATATGTTAGTCCTCAGGACCAGTTCAATGTGGAAAAGTGTTAGTCACTTACCATGAACTTCCTTCACAGCTGGCTCAAGAAGAGTTCTCATCTAGGCAAGCTGATGAGTGGTCTCAACTGGTAGTGATACAATGGAGAAACACTTTGTGTACTTGGTTTTATTGGCATGACAATATATCTACTTGGTAATTAAAGATCATTAGTTGTCTTGGTTGTCTGCCAGTGGAGATACTGTGCAGTAGTTATGATCTGGCAAACTGTCAATACATCCATTGTTCAAAGATCTGATGTTTTGTATAGGTAATTCAATGCCCCTTGAAATGGTGTCTCAGTTATTGGACCATCTTGAACAGTAGCCTCAACCTTCAACCTGTGAACAAGACTAGAGCTATATTAAGGGCTAAATGTACTAAGAAACATTACTATCTAATTTAGGGCTTTCAAGAAAATGGATGCTGAGCAAGGCTTATAGATTTTCTCATTTCTTTCTTTCTTTCTTTTCCCCCCAGACATAGTCTCCCTGTGTTGCCCTGACAGACCTAGAACTCACTATGTACTCAGAGATCTACCTGCCTCTGCCTCTAAGTGCTGGGATCAAAGGGCCCCATTTCTATCTTATAGACTAAGGACAATTTTGCTGTTGTGAATAGCTCTTACAGCCACAAAACTGGCTAAGAGTTTGGGCCATTTTATTCCTTTGTTAATTCTTGTGGGCCGCAAGGATATATTATAGAGATTCAGCTGTGTATTGAAGGTAAACTTTGACCGGTCAAGGGTTTGTCAAAAGGCAAGCCATTTATTATGAATATTTGGTGCTATCCAGCCTTTAATATTCCACCTGTCTTCTACTATGAAATTCTTGCGTGGCCAAATATTTTCAGACCTGCTGAACTTCTAGGTAACTTCCCTGTGGGAGCCAGTACCTGGATAAGGTCAAGTAAGCAAAGACGAGCTGGCAGGAGATGCATAGCTTTGTTTCTCGAGGCCCAGCCACTCTCCAGAGCAACGGACTGAGAACCAAAAAGGTTTTTACCTATCAAGGTGAGAGGTAGAATAACATTCCTGAGGAGGCAGAGAACCACTGCCCAGGGAAAGAAAGGGCAGGCATTTTTTTTTTTTTTTCTGTAGAAATGGACAGAACGGCATGGCAAGAGAGAAAAGAGGAAGACAGGTCCTTAGAGGGTAAGCAGATCTTGGGTAAAGTTTTCTGAGTGCCAGGAGTACAGAGTAGCAGAGATGGAGAAAGAGGATACAGAGGACGAAGATGAGGCTGGAATCATAGGAGTTTAGTCATTAGCAGGACTATGAGCTGGGGAACTGGATGGAACTGAAGGTATGGAAACAGGATTTTATCCCAGAGAAATGAAGTAGACAGATAAAGAGCTTGCTATGTCTAGAGTTATTCCTGCCTTGAATGCCTGGTGGAGCTATAGCTGTATTGATAGAATTTTTGTCTTAGAGGAATAAAGTTAAGACATAAGAAAATAGTGTACGTAGATCTTTTTCCCCTCAAATATCCCACGCTGGAAGTAGCTAGACCCCAGGTACCCTGGGTCCAACAAAGTTAATATACAACTGAACCAGTTTGTTTTCACCCCCAAAATTATTTGTGTAAGAGCACATCTCTTATACCTGTCCCAAACTCTAAATAAAGAATTTATCTTTTTACCTTTAGATGTGTTTGTTGGGATGTTTTAGGGAGGCTATCCTGGTAGTAGAGTTGTTAGGTGTCAAGATTCTTGTAGTGACCTCTGAAATAGTAATCATATGATCAATTTTGTGTAAGATGTTAGGGTGTCGGGGAAGTATAACATTCATTAGCTCCTTCTATAAGGAAAACACATTAAATGTAAAGTTCGAGGAAAATCAAATAAAGGTAAGTTCATTTTACCTACAAACTTCTAGACACTACTTAACAGAAGCAAAACAATGTTATTATCAAGTAAGGGTTACCTAAGAAAGAACAGTAACTTCTTTGCAATTAGTAAGGCTGACCAAAATCTTGATGATTAAGTTTGACATACTACTGGAAATCTTAGTCAACATTTTAAATAAATCATACTAAGTTCACACTAGGAAACCAAAACCCAATCATGTAAAGGACAGAGGAGCCAACAAGTAACATGTATCTGAAAAGACACAGGGTAGACATTCCATGCTCTGAGACAGAATAAACAAGTATTATGAAGACACCAACTTTCTGTGACCAGAAGAGTAAAGGGAACCTTTGCCACCACAGCAAAACAAGGCAAAATGCTTATGACTTCATCTTTAAGTAATAGACATAAATGTGCTCTCAAACCTAGTTTACATTATCTACATCATTCTGAAAAGAATACTTTGTGATATACCTTAAATCTGTATTTTATTGAGATAGGAGGGACTGGCTTTTAATTGTCCTGTCCCTTTATATTTTTGTTGTTTTCATTTCAAATAGACTGTATCTGTAAGATTTCTCAAAGTACTCTTCAAAAGGTACTCAATCTTCATTTTTGAATAAACAACAAAAGAGGTTATTAGAAGACATAAATTCTGTACATACAGCAATGATCCCATTGCTATTCTTTTTTTTTTTTTTTTTTTTTTTTTTTTGGTTTTTTGGTTTTTCCAGACAGGGTTTCTCTGTGTAACAGTCCTGGCTGTCCTGCAACTCACTCTGTAGACCAGGCTGGCCTCAAACTCACAGAGATCCACCTGCCTCTGCCTCCCAAGTGCTGGAGTTAAAGGTGTGCATCACCACCACCATTGCTATTCTTTTATAGTCCATGTATATATTTCTGTATCAAAACAAATTAACCTCATCTATCCTAAACATTTTCACATGTAACTTAGTTTTCAAAAATGACTGATCTAAAATTCGGAATTCAATAACCTTACAACACATATTATTTGGTTTTTATTATCTAAAGTTTGTAAAAGACATGACATTTATTCCTATACATATTTGTCCTTTCCTCATAGAATAAAAGAGACAAGACCTATGTAAGCGTTACAATAATGAGACTATGTTGTTTGAATTTAATATAGCATACTGGAAAAGTTCTCAGAGTGTAATGCTGAAAATATACGAAACCCATGTAACATTCATTACTAAACCCCATAACGCTAATCAAAACAGTCATACTGACCTCTAGTGGCCAGACTCCCTGTATTTCACGGACGGTGAAATGGCCAGATTAAAATACTGTAAAGATACATCATAAGACATTCTTATCAACAAAGCAATAAAGGCAGCAAAATCTAAAACACAGACACGTAAAGGCCACCAAAAACTGGTATGTTCTAAGTCTTAGTTTATCAGTTTATTTTACATTAAGAACAAATGATACACACACACACACAGGTTCTCATTTTATTATCATTTATTAACATTTTATTTATTTTGTGTGTGGTACATGCATGCTTAGGCCAGAGACTGACAGTGGGTGATTTCACTGATTATATCTTATTTTTCTGAGACAGGCTCTCGGTGAATCCTGAGCTTATTTTGGTAGACTGGCTGGACAGTGAACCCCTGGGATCCACTGTCTCTCCCACCCTCAAGTGCTGGGGTTAAAGATGGGCACAACATCTGATTTTTATTTGGGTGCTGGGCATGTGAATTCAGTTCCTCATGCTTGTCCAGCAAGTACTTTACCCACTGACCCATCTCCCCAGCTTCTCTAGTGATCCCCAAAGTAAACATAGTTTTGTATGTTCACCAGCCACATGAACCTAAGCATTTGAAGTGGCACTAGAACACAATAACCCAGAGAAGCAGTCTTTGTAAGATAATAAAAAAAGAATGTAAGTTATCTTTTTAATAATGTATACTGATGATAATGGCTAGCGATTTTGTATATTTGATTTTTCTAGGCGTTCTTCCCCTGTCTATTGTTCTCAGAATGCACATTCTTAGCTTGGTTCTGCTCCCAGTGATTAACCTGGAGTAACTTTCTCCAGTTGGACATGTTGCTGACTTCAAATTACAGACACTTAATACCACCATATTCACTTTAACCAGCAAATTAATTGTGTACCTACAAATTTTCAGAAACTAGGAATGAAACAGAATAATTACAGCACATTCGTAGGATGGCATCTCACAGCACCCTGTGTCTCAATCTACTCATCTTAAAAGGAGATAGAAACAAAGGATTAAATGAAAAAATGCTTAGAGTGGTGTTTGTCACAAGCAAGGAGTCAATAAATTTTTGTAAGTATTAGCATATATGGATAAAGCTAGGAAATAGTATGGACTAAAAAAAGCCAGTTGCATTTATGAGTATTTATACACTGGATGGTTAAAACACGAAACACAGTGGATACATTCATTCATTCAGGCATTTACTCATGTGGATACATGTAAAAATCTGGGTGGTAAAAATGAAAAAGTACATTCTTCTGATAAGGGAAGGTAGTAACTCAAAAGACATCCAGGCGGGTTTGGAATGTTCTAGTTCTCTGCCAAGACGAACCATTCTTACGTCTTCGCAGAGGATGCTAAAGTGCAGGGAAAATTCTTTGAATTATGAATTAAGCTGATATACAACTAATCGCAAGGAAAACAACAGACACAGGATTGCCAATAAACGAAGAGAGACTAGATGACCGAGGCATGAACTCTATATACAGCTACAATGTGTGTAACACAAATTACGCAAGGGTTATAAAAGTCTGGGGAAGAAACAGATGAAGTCTCCCAGTGAGAAGTTAGTTGGGGGCAGCCCTCTTCCTGATAGACTTCACCAATGTAGATTTACATTATAGACAGGAGAGGTGGCTGCAGTTTTGCAAAATTACCAGGCAGTATGCCAAGAGAGTTTCACATTTTGGAGAGGCGTGTCCTAAGCCCAAACCGAGGCATTCGTTTTGAGATAATTTTACATCTCCAGTGCGTGGTCTTACCAGGACCCCAAAGTCCTTTTGCAGAGTCTGCGTTCTCCTCAGTTTAGAGGAATTGTTATGCAGTCTGTAAGGCAGACCCGGGGAGCTGGAGCATCCCCAGCGGCTGCAGCCTAAATTTACCCTGCCCTTCTCTTCCCAGGTCCCCAGAATGCCCGACCGACGCCCACTGAGTCCCAAGGACTGCAGGATCCCTCACCCAGATGGCCCCCAGAAACCCTTGACTTTCCCGACCCCCGAACGGGCCCCCTCCGTGACTCTCTCAAATGTGTCCTTCGCTCGGACTCCCCCGTCAGGCAACAGGATCGGAGACCATGTTCTCAGCAGGCCTTGCTCTCTTTGCGGCGGGTCTTCTCCGCCTTCTCACCCCACACGCAGCACCTGCACACCAGCAGCCACCAACTCTGAACCAGAAAGTTGAACGCCAGCCACAGACCGGCTCCTCGAGGATCCCACTTCCGGCCACGCCCACGCCGAATCGTCAGAGAAACACCTCTTCCTACTTCCTACAGCAGGCCACACCCTCAGCGCTTGCGTACCAGCAGCGGGAGTTCAGATGGGGGCGGGAATAGTTTGATCTCTCTCGGCTTCCGGGTCTCGCCTCTCGCGAAGATCCCGCGGGATCTCGTCCTCCCGCGAGAGTTGTTTGAAAACTCCGGCGGTAACCACGCCTCGGGTGCTGGCGGGCCGGTCTGCGGGAAGCCGAGGGAGACTGAGTTCGTGCCGATTGCGAACTGCCGTCACCCGCGGGGCAGCTCTCCTCCCGGCGCCATGGCAGCGGCGAAGAAGCGGCTTTCTGTGAAGGAGGCTTTTCGGCTGGCGCAGCAGCCACACCAGAACCAGGCGAAGCTGGTGGTGGCTCTGAGCCGCACGTACGGCGCGGTAAGCGGCCTGGCCTCGGCGCCGGCGCTCCCCTCGCTGGCGACCGCTTCCGGGCTCAGCCTCCCCCCCCCCCCCCCCCCCCCCTTTGCGCGACCCGCGTCTGAGTGACCTGAGGGTCAGGTGCTCTGAGGCTTGCCCGAGGTCTCCTGGCCTCTGTCAGTGATCGCGACTCCGGACGACGTCCGCCCCGAGTCTCCTTCAATGTTCTCCACCCTCCTCCTCGGGCCCCCGGAGGAGTGATCCGTTATCTTTAGTTTGGCAGTGACTCCGGAGCCCAGCGTTAGGCTGCGAAGTGAATCTCACACGCCCTTCTTTCCTTTGGGGTCTCTAGTTCATTGTAGGATATCCGACCAAGTTATTTCAACCAACTGCTAAGCTTAAATCAAATTCATGTCACCAAATATCAAAATCATTAGGACCTAGCCTTTCCTATTTACGTTAATGGTGCATCTAGTGGAGCCGTGGGGAATTCTAGGACAACGAAATTGAGGAAGATAAATTATTTTGAAGTTCAAGAGAAGTTAAGTAAATGTAAACGTGATTAAGGGTATGGAATAGGTTGTGGAAGTTATGCCAAAAGGAAATTGCTGTTTATTGGGAAGGCCTAAATGAAATAAATACAAAACCAGTGTTGATTTTTGAGTTATGCTTGCTGAAGTTAAGCTTGCTTTGCATTCATATGGTAAGAAAAACATCGAGAATCCAAAGGGTTTGAAAGAAGAAATAGAGAATTTTTCATTGTCCAAATTTATGCTTTGTACTTTCTCAGAGGTGCTTTCAGAAGTGTTATGGCAGTGTTGGGAATAAAGAATTTTTAGTCATGCAGCTTATGGAGGCCTTTCTTGTGTCTTTCAGATGGATGATAAAACAGCTTTTCAGGACCAGTTTGTCCACTGCCTTAAATACGCTATGGTGGTATATAAACGGGAACCTGCTGTGGAGAGGGTCATAGACTTCGCAGCTAAGTTTGTTACTTCATTTCACCAGACTGATCAGGAAGAGGAAGAGGAAGATGGTGGCATCTTAAACTATTTGTTTACTTTTCTTTTAAAGGTACTGTGAAAACTAGTACTTTGGGGGAAGTGATGAAGAGACTTTCACCATGATGTTTGTCATTTTCGACAGTGAAATATCAGTGATAGAGAAAATGTATGCAAATAAATCTTTTATAGGAAATCTTAACTGTCATTAAGATAAAAGGGTAACGCCATCATTGGATTTTTGAACTGCCTGATTAAATTCTCATGCTTGTTGTAAATGTTTTCTGCCTTGAACTGAAATGTTCCTACAGAGAAGAATATGCTTATTTTTTATATAGCAAATATTTTTTGGACCAGTTGAGATTATATTGACTACTTAAGAATGGAATGTGACTAGGAATAATTTTTTGTTTGTTTTTGTATAGTCTCATGAAGCAAACAGCAGTGCAGTCAGATTTAGAGTATGCCAGCTCATTAATAAACTTCTGGGGAGTATGCCAGAAAATGCCCAAATTGATGATGACTTGTTTGATAAAATTAATGAAGCCATGCTTATTAGATTGAAAGATAAGATTCCAAATGTAAGAATACAAGCAGTTTTGGCTCTTTCTCGACTCCAAGATCCCAAGGATGATGACTGCCCAGTAGTTGATGGTATGTATGGTCTCCTACATCTTATCAGTATGTTGACTTCGTTAATTTTTCAAGTTTTGGATTTTATGTGTGTGTATACATGTGTGTGTAGGTGTATACATTCATATGGAAGCCAGAGGTTGGAGTCAGATGTCTTCCTCAATTGCTCTCTACCTTATTTTTTGAGACAGTATCTCATTAAATCTAGACCTCATCTGCCGAGACTCATTGGCTAGAAAGCCCCAGGAATCCTTTCTCCTTATTCCCAGTGCTAAGATCATAGGTGCATGCCACTGTGCCCGGTTTTTATGAGGCTATTGGGGGTTGGAACATCAGGCCTCATGCTTGTGCAGCAAGTACTATACCAATAGATTCATCTCCCTAACCCAGCATTGAACTTTTACTTATTAATTATGTATGTCTCTCTGTGTTATGGAAGTCTCAATCCAACAATTTAAAAGAAGAGAATATTATCAGAACTTTGAACTCTGCCTTGCTCTTACTCCAGTTGTATCCCCTTCTTTCAGAGATAGTAATAAATTACAGTGAATTTTGGGTTAATTGCCTTATTTACCTAAAAAACAAAACTTTAAACTATCACACGTTTGTTTCAGTGTTAAATTTTGTCTGCCTTTTTTTTTTTTTTTTGCACATTATACTACTTTTTTGTGTCTTTTTTTTTTCCTTCACAATTATTAGTAACTTTATCTTTCGTTTAGGAGAGTATATTTTTACTTCTGCTCTATTCTAATGTTTTGTTTTGTGGTGTATATTCTGCATGTTAATGGCCCTTCTAGTTGTTTGCAAAAAAAGTTGCCTCTACAAGAGTATGCCAGATACACTGTCAGTAGTCTTGAAAACCAAACCAAACAAACAAAAAAACCCCCCAAGTGTTAGTATTTTTTTTTATACATGGCTTTGGTGCATAGGTTAAAGAATTTTGTGGAGTTATCCTTAGAGATAGACTTATAGCTTCCACTTTATTAGAGTAGGTAAAGTATTCTAAAAAGCTGTTTATCAATGGGCCATAAAAGTATGCATTGACCCACATCTTCTTTACTTTCAGCACATTTTAAAATTTTATGCCCTATCTAGTATATGTTATTGTTACCCATCTTAATGAATTTAGCAGATGATCATCATGAGTTGCTTAAGGATGGTGGTACAGTTTGAGAAATGTTCCTGTTAGGTGATTTTTGTGATGTTAAACACCATAGATTGTACTTGGACAAATGGATTGTAGAGTTTAGTCACTCAGTGTGATTTCTGGTGCAGTCAGAGTTCCACTGAACATGTATGAGACTACTGCCAGTATATCTGGCATACTCTTGTATAGAAATTGAGTTGTATAGTCTTTGGGTTTGGTTAATTTCAGGGTGTGATTTTTTTTTTGGGGGGGGTAACATTTTTATAATAAAGTTTAAAATAAAATAATAGGTCCTTGTAGTAAACCATATCAACTTAAAATAAATTGCCTACTAATTGTCTCCTGACTTTTAAGGTTGTTTTCATTTTTAATCTCCAGTCACAGTATATTTATTAATTTTTAATTCCATTCTCAGAAGGAAAGTTGTTAAAATTTTTTTTTTTTTTGCTAAAAGTGAATATATAAGAATAGTGCATAGTATCTCTTATTTAAAAAGTGAAATATCAAAATGTGGACACTTCTATGACTTAAAGAAAAATTTTAATATTAAAACATATTGCTTTATTTCTAGCATATGTTACTTTGATTGAAAATGATTCAAATCCAGAAGTTAGACGTGCAGTGTTATCCTGTATTGCACCATCAGCAAAGACTTTGCCAAAAATTGTAGGACGCACAAAGGATGTAAAGGAGGCTGTCAGAAAGCTGGCTTATCAGGTAAATAAGTCACTATCTTCAGAAGGCACGTTTTTGAACAATGAGCCAATTTATGGTAATTTTGGAAGAATCTTGGTAACAATGATTTTTTCCAGTTAGGACTTTCGAAGAATATAGGTAATTTAGGTAGAATATTGTTAATTTAAAAAGATTAACAGACAAAACATTTGGGTTAATTTACTGAAGAATGTAGTATTCATAAGTAAGACATCCCTAAAATCTATGGAGACTAATGGCTATCTTTGACCTTTTTAAGGTGTTAGCTGAAAAAGTTCATATGAGAGCTATGTCCATTGCTCAGAGAGTACTGCTTCTTCAACAAGGTCTTAATGACAGGTCAGGTAAGATACACATCTTTGTAAACACTGGATTTTGAAGTCAGACTTGAAGTTATCTTTTCCATAAAACTATCATTTCCATAAATTTGATGAAATATTTTGGAGTTAAAGTGCTTGGTATTTTGAAGGAATAAGATATTTCTTTTAGACTTTCTGTGCTCTATGGAGGGCAAGGCTAATCTAAATTCTATGTAGTTGCTTTTTCCAGAAGTCTGACAGAATCTTTCTTTTCATCCCATCTGTCTTAGACAGTACTGTTGTGTTTTTCTATAACATTTCTATAAATGTGTTCTGTGCATTAGAAACAATTAGGAATGAGTAGACCTGTATAATGCCCCAACCTCTCTGTTAAACTAGAGAATCTGCTTACATGAAGGATGTTTTAAAAATGCTTGGCTCTCATGAAGCCATTTAGTCTCAATTTTGCTGTGCCAAGAGAGCAAACTTGAGTCTGTGAATATTGTCAGAGGACTGACTAGGATGCTCTCAAATCAGCGGCTCTCAACCTGTCGGTACCAATCCCTTTGGGAATTGAATGACCCTTTCACAGATTATCGGAAAACACAGATATTTACATTACTATTCATAACAGTAGCAAAATTACAGTTACGAAGTAGCGGTGAAAACAATTTTGTGGTTGTGGGGGTCGCCCCAATAAGAAGAACTGTATTACAGGGTTGTAACATTAGGAAGGTTGAGAACCACTGCCTTAAATGATAAAAATAAATACTGCAAATAGAATTCATGTAATAGCAGAAGTCAGTCAACACGTGAAATAGTGGGTTTCGCATATTCTGATATTTGATTATGGGAATTTTCCCAGGGTTCTGCCCTGAGAAAATCCTTCCCAGAGTTCTGGGGAAGATGCAATGTCCGGCATGGGGTTATCTGAGGGAAAAGTATCTATATACACCAGTTTCTTTTGTCGGTTTACTTTTTTTCTCTAACAAACTTCTATCTATACAGCTTCAGTTCTGATCTGACACTCAGTTCCTCTCTGTCCCTTCGTTTTTCATCCTCTCATAGCCCTAGTAATAACTAAGCTCTCATGTTCTTGATCTCATCTTTGTCCTCTGTTCCTTCGTCCTCCATCTTCCCTTCCTCTCCTCTCCTGACCTGATTCAGATCTACCTACAGTCTGCAAAACTTTTCCTTGCTCCTTACTCCTTTGCCCTAGCCAGTCTGCCTTACCATCTATAGAAATTCTGTCTTGTTCTCTCCTCTCCAGCCACATGACTCTGCCAGCACCAGGAATTCTGCTTCAGTCTTTACTGTACCTGGTTATGCAAATAACTCTTTTGTCTTGAGTCAGTAGCTCTGGCATGCCACTAGGTCTGAAGGAAAGGGATGGTCTGAGCGTCATTTACACAAGAAACAAAGCTATGCACCTACAGTCCACCTTCTCTGTAGGGGTGTTACCTAGTAGATCAGTGGTAAGTCTGAGAAGCTTATACTGTTTCCCATATGGCCTAGTAGTATATGAGTCCACAAGAAATTCATAGCAGAAGACAGCTGATATATTAAAAGCTGAATAACACCAAATATTCCCTGATAAATGGCTTTCCTCTATAAAAGATTCCTTGACCTTTCTAGGTATAGCTTTATTATATACAGCTGAATCTCTATAATATATTCTGGTGGCTTACAGCACTTGATGTTCGGTGAGGAGACAATATAGAATTTTTTCATTGGGCTATATTGGAGTTAAGTTTTTACTGCTGAACTTGCATTTGTATTTTGAATAAGCATTATCATGATTAGTAACACTGCATCTTTTTCATTAGCATGCTTTGTTCTACCTATACTCTCCATTTGTATTGTAACTATCAATGTTAACATTGACTCAGTAAAAGTGAATTAAAATGGGGAGACTAGAGGAAAGTCTTGAGTGTCCATTGTCTACCTGTTTTCTGTGACTCCCCAGATGCTGTGAAACAAGCAGTGCAGAAGCATCTTCTCCAAGGCTGGCTGCGCTTCACCGAAGGCAATATCTTGGAATTGCTTCATCGCTTAGATGTGGAAAATTCTTCTGATGTGGCAGTCTCTGTTCTCAATTCCTTATTTTCAATGACTCCTCTCAGTGAGCTAGTCAGCATCTGTAAAAATGATGATGGCAGGTATATAATAACTTCATTATTTAAATTGTACAGGATATTTAAATTGAACTTCCACAGTTAAAATTAGTTTTCCTTCCCTGTACTTTCAAATTCCATCAGTACCTTTTATCTGTCCTTCATTTCTTTAATGAATATCTTTTTTTCCTCTGGTACATGAACTCATTACTTGGTTTTTTTTTTTTTTTGGTTTTTCGAGACAGGGTTTCTTTGTGTAGTTTTGGTGCCTGTCCTGGATCCCGCTCTGTAGACCAGGCTGGCCTTGAACTCACAGAGATCTACCTGGCTCTGCCTCCCGAGTGCTGAGGTCGCTGCCCGTCAGAACTCATTACTTTTTGTCAGATATTACTTCATTTGTGGCCTTCCATTTTGTAGTTTTATTTTTACATTACACTTACTGTGAACACATCCCCAAATATACATTCTTCCCACGTTAGCTCATTTGAAGCTTTCCCTTTTGCCTTTCCTTAGTCTAAGTATTTTTTCTTTTCATAACTTATTGGGTGGGTCAGTTAATGACCTAGTAATTAAAAGACTTAGTAATTGAAAGAAATCTACATCTTATTTCCATTCTTGTTCAGCTTTTCAACTGCATGTAAAGATAATGCTCTCTTATTCTCTTCTAAATGAAGGAAGTTGATTCCAGTGGAAACATTAACTCCTGAACTTGCTTTGTACTGGCGCACCCTTTGTGAATATTTGAAATCGAAAGGAGATGAAGGTGAAGAGTTTTTAGAGCAGATTTTGCCAGAGCCTGTAGTATATGCAGAGTATTTACTGAGGTAAATTTTTTTCTTTTGGTTTGAACTGTACTTATGTTGCTCATGTGCCAGTCTCATAGCCCCCTTATTTAAAGTCATTGTTGGAAAAAAGTTAAAAACTATTGTGTTCAAGTAGGTACAAATTGGTGTGTTCATTGAGTGTTTCTGAAGAATCTGTTGTGTGGTTAGTATACTGAATGTGTACAGAGTCAGAGCCTTACTATCCCTGTCACAATGACTCAACATTAGCAGCTGGTTAGCATGACTTTCCCTGATAAAATTTTACTGACTTTTTCTTGAGTTTTGTCTAATATTTATATATGATAAAAAATTTAAAGATTATTCTTTAAAAGCTGTACAAAAACAGATATCATGATAATTAGATTTGGGGCATAGACTAGTTTCAGAATCGTAGGGTGGAGATATATGGCCAGTTTTAGTCTTTTTTGATTAATAACATACTAAAAATAAAAAAAACTTATATAACTTTAAAGTTTTATTTTCCTAAATTATCTGTCTTAATGTATGTCCTGGCTAATGTTATGTCAACTTGACCCCAGTTAGAGTCATTTGGGAAGAGGGAATCTCAATTGAGAAAATGCTCTCACTCGATTGGCCTGCGGGCAAGCCTGTGGTACATTTTTTGGTTGATGATGGATTTGGATGGGCCTAGCTCTCTGTGGGTGATGCCATCCCTGGGCTGGTGATCCTGGGCTCTATAAGAAAGCAGGCTGAGCAAGCCATGGGGAACAAGCAAGTAAGCAACGTTCCTCGATGGCCTCTACGTCAGTTCCTGCTTCTAGGTTCCTGCCTTGTTTCAGTCCTTGACATGACTTCTTTCAGTGATGGATTGTAATGTGAAATAGGAAATAAACCATTTCCTCCCCAAGTTGCACAATTAAATAATTAGGGTGTGCATTTTCAAATCTCTCTACATGTTTTAAATGCACATGTAAGTTTCTTTTTGAAAATATAGCATATGATATGTACTGTTTTCTGTTTTTTTTTAACCTGTATGTAAAATCATTATTTGTTGGTATGTGATATTACACTATTTTGTAGTGCCTTGTGTGCTATGTAAGTGCTCTTCCACTGAGTTACATCTACTTCATTAATTCTACTTGTTTTAGTTACATCCAGAGCTTCCCACTAGTTAATGAAGAACAGAGAGGTGATTTTACCTATATTGGAAATTTGATGACAAGAGAATTTATAGGTCAGCAATTGATTCTAATTATAAAATCTTTGGATACCAGTGAAGAAGGAGGAAGGTATGTCTAAATGTTAACATTTGATCTAATTTCTTTTAATTTCATTTATTTAGTAACCTACCTTGGTTTAATTTAAAAGGTAATTCTGATTTTAATTTTAGTATAACTGTAAATGATGAAGATGATATATCCTCTGATTAATCAGGGTTTTTAAAAAATCAAGATACAATGTATCTTGAGCATATCTACCTCGAGACTCTTCCTACTCCTTTTGATCCTCAACATGTTCCTTCTCCCTTGAGCCTTGGCCCTCCCCCGCCCCTTTCTTTTTAACATACTGAGTCCAGTTAGTGTTGTGTGCATGTGCATGGTTATGTGGCCATCCTTCAGATCATGGGCAGCATACCACCAGCTGCGCCCCAGAATAAAAATGATTCTCCCTCCCCTAGTAGTTGTCAACTGCCAGTAGCTTCTCAGCTGGGGGACCTCAGGAGCCCCTATCCCTCCATACTGCCATGTTGACTGGCAGGTCTTGTGCAGGTAACCATAGTTCCCATGAGTCCATGAGTGTAACAGCCAAGACTCGTCTAGAGGGCAGCATTATCACTCCTTCCTTACCCTCTGGCTAAGTCCCTATATTTAAATACAGTTTTGGTACAATGACTAGATGTGTCTGCCCTAGAAGTGCTATAAAAATTTTTCTTTCCTCTTTCCTTATATGGAAACATATTTACACATATATAGTTCATTAATGTTAGGGTATATTTCTGAGAAATGTGTTATTAGGTGACTTTGTTGGTGTGCAAGCATAATGTATAAATTTAGGTGTTATAGGTTAATTGTTCATTGTGGTATTTTGGTATAATTAGAAGATGACAAAATATGCATGAGGCTATTGCAAATACAACTTTCATAGTAATATGCTGAGTATACTCTACAATAATGGTAAAAAATACATTATGATAATTAAATAAACCAGTAACAATCATTTAACATTTAGTATGATGTGTGGTATGTAATCACATGTACTATACTCTTATATGTATGGCAGTGTATGTTTGTTTACACCAGCATCACCAGAGAAGTGCATTGACATACCACATTACTAGGGCTACTATATCATTAGGCATTAGATATTTTCTAGCTCCATTATGATTTTCTGGGACATCCATCAGATATGTAGTTTAATGTTTACTGAAACATCATTATGTGGCACATGATTGCTTATATATCCATGTTTCTATGGGTATCTATGTATATAATCCTAGTATAATTACCTCAGAATAAGTAATTTTCGTTTTTTTTGGTTTAAAATATTCATTGCAGAGAAAGCAAGTAGTACTATCTAGATGGTTTGATTAACCTCTTTTTTTCCCCCTGTTTTTTGTTAATTTAAGATCAGGGTATAAAAATATAATTTGTATGTGTATTTTTAATAGTTTTTGCAGAATGTGAGGTTTTTTTTTTTTTTTTTTTTTTTTTTGTCGTCTTTTAACCTAAAGTCTGTGTATGGAGTTTTGTACCTATAGTTATAAACAGAAGTAAAAACTAAAACAAGTGTAAAGGGAAATGTTAGAAAAAATGTATTTTCAGTTGGCAAGATGGCTCAGGGGTTAAAGATGCTTGCTGTCAAACCCAGTGCCTTTCATTTGATCCTTGGAACCCTCAGGGTAGAAGGGGAAAACTAACTCCGACAATTTCTTCTTTGAGCTCCACATTTAGTTCCAGGCATGAGTGTGCCCTCTCACATACCCACACAGAAAACAAAGAAGAAAAAAGCTTAAAAAAATATGTATAAAATGTATTTTGTCATAGTGGTAGTCAAATTAAAAAAGATCTTTTTGATTACAGGAAACGACTGCTGGCTATTTTGCAGGAGACTCTTATTCTCCCTACAACTCCAGTATCCTTAATTTCTGTTATTGTTGAGATACTCCTCCACATCATCTTAGATGATAATAAAAGGATACAGATTGTAAGTGCTTTTATTTTTGATATAGTTAGGACACTTTGATCAGTGACATTCAAGAGTCAGATTTCTCTTTAGCATCCTTGTCTTTGACTGTATTAGTGTTGTCCAATATGTTGCAAAAAGGAAAAAGGAGTACATTTTTCTCACACACAGAGTTTTAACACACCTTCCTGTCTTAGCATGCCTGTTACTTTGTTGAGTCAGTGCAGCAGGTATGGGAGGAGGGGACAAGTGTGATGAGGTTTTCTTTGTAATTATTGGGAACTAGTGTGTAGAAGGAAGACTTGAGTTATGGAGTCCTCAGTTGTGGCTGTGGGCAAGATTTTAGCCTATTTTACTCAAATGCAAAACACTAATATAACCTTTTACTAATGTTCATGAAATGCTTGATAGATACAAAAGTGAATTGAATGTGCTACAGTAGTTCCAGAAATGAGGTCCAACCCCTTGGGGGGATAGCAAAAAGAAGTAGATTTGTATTGATTAATAAAACCAAGCAGTTTGCTTGCTAGGTGGTTCAAAATTAGTTTGTCTAAACCTCTCCTTACATAGTCATCCTTTCTATACCATCCTAATTAGTTGTTATCTAGGATTTGCTTATTCAGAGCACCCTTTTTCTGAACTGGCAAATGCTAAGAGGCTCTGAAGGAAAAATCATCATTGCTTATTACTTACGTATTGTGTACCAAAGGAAGAAAATAGTTTGTTTTTTTAATTTAACTTGTACAGAACTGAGGAAGGAGTTAAGAATTTTAGGCATAAAATTTTAGGTTATAGAGAGTAATCTTAGAGTACAATAATTCATTTTTTTCTACCTTTCAAATATTGCATTAGGGATAATTTGTCTTTAGTATCCATAATTGCATAAAAAATTGTTACTTTTTAGTCAAATAATACATCTGACTAGACTATTCAGTCTTTTTGTTTGTTCATTTGTTTTTGTTTTGTTTTGTTTGAGACCTTTATTTTGTTTTTTATTTATTTATTTTTTTGTGTAGCCTTGGCTGTCCTGGCACTAACTTTGTAGACCTGGCTGGCTTGGAACTCGGAGAGATCCTTCTGCCTCTCAAGTGCTGGGATTAAAGGCGTGCGCCACCACCGCCTGGTTCTTATTTAGTCTTATTGTTTGGTCTTTGTATTAGTTGCTGTCTTGTTGCTGTGACCAAATGCCTCTTGTAATGGTTATTAATGTCAACTTGACAAGATTTAGAATAAACTAGAAGATAACCCTCTGGGTATGTTTGTGAGACAGTTTCTAGATTGGGTGAGGTGTGAGTGGCACCAGTTTAGGTGCTTAGGTTCTAAGCTGACAGTGTAAACTGAGTACTAGCCTTCCCTTTTCTTTGTTTTTTGACTATAGTGCAGTGTGGCTAACTACTTCATGCTCCTTTGCCCGTTCCCTCCCCTCTGTGGTAGACTGTTAGTTTCAAACTGAGCCAAAAGGAATGGTTCCTTCTTTAAGTTGTTTTTGTCACAGCAGTAAGAAAAGTAACCAATACAACTGACAAGAAGCAACTTGGGAGGAAGTGGGGAAGGGAAAGGAAAGAAAGGGAGGGAGGGTTTGCCTTGAGGGTACAGCCTGTCATGATGGGAATGGCATGGTGTTGAGAAAAGTTCTAGCTATGTAAAACAGGAACGTGAGGCGATTGGTCAGTCACATTTTGTTCACAGAAAGAGAGGTGAATCTGGTGCTCAGTGAGATTGTTATTCCTTTTTCCCTTCTTACTCAGTGTGGCACCCCAACCTGTGGGAAGGTAATGCCCAAATTTAGGTCATGTGTTTTCCCTCAGTTAAACCACTTCAAAAATATCCTTACTGGTATGTCCAAAAGTGTGTCTTCTAAATGATTCCAAATCCAGCCAGATTGGCAATGTAGATCAACCTTTACAAGCTATATCTTTTCAAGCACAGTCATTTTAAAATCAATTGTTCCAGGCAGGTAGTATTACTTTTTCACTAGATCTTTTACTGGGCTGTCTATTGGAAAGATTCACCCTTGTGGGGAGTATCTGAAAACACCCTCAGATGACTCTCAGGTGATACCAAGTCCAATCAAATGGACAATAAAAATGAACCAACATAGTCTTTACTTAAGATTGTGTAATAAACAAGTGTGTATGACTTTTAGATAATTCTTTTGCTGTCTTTCAAAGGTGATATTTGTTTGGAATTTGATGTAGCAGTTTGTTATCATTTCTTGGTATAAAACATGGATTACAGCTTATATTTTGAATTATAACTTTATTAGGTCACAGAAATTATCTCAGAGATTCGTGCACCCATCGTTACTGTTGATGTTGATCCATCTGATACAAGAAAGAAGGAACTCAAGGTAAATCTCTTCTAAATCAAAAATGTGCTTTAGTGATGTTGCCTCCTGCTGGACTTCTTAGAAACATTCTCATCAAGTCAAGTCATTAAGTGTTACACTCTAAGGGTATGCAGATCATTACCAGATTATAACAAATTTGCTGATCTCTGTTTCAGGAAAATGAAATCTTATGCTTTACTGCTTCAATCCTGAGTCTGAGAAATTGTGACAAATTTTCATGTTAATTTTTGTGTAGATGATCAATTTTTATCTTTTTTTTAGATGGCTGAAATAAAAGTTAAGCTTATTGAGGCTAAAGAAGCTTTGGAAAATTGCATTGCTATACAGGATTTTGATCAGGCATCAAAACTAAAAGAAGAGATAAAAACATTGGAAGATGCCAGAATAAACCTGTTAAAAGAGACAGAGCAACTTGAAATTAAAGAAGTCCACACAGAAAAGGTATATGTCATTTTTCATAATAAATTTTATCTACTATTATATCAACAAACCTTATTTTCTTTAATTCGTTAAACTATCAGAATGTATTTACCTTGGAGGGAGTTGTGACAATACCATAAATTAATATGAAAAAAGAAACTTTAATTTGAAACTTCTGTTTTATATTTTTAGACTTGTGGTGTTTGAGACAGTCTCGTTACATAACCCTGACTGGCCTGGAACTCATATGTAGACTGAGCTGCCCTTGAACTAACAGAGATCTATTTGTTTATGCCTACACAGCTGCTCGTGCTGGGATTAAGGTGGTATGCCACCACACCAGGCCTGGCATTTTTAGACTTTGGAAAATACCTTTAATTTTTATAGCGTGTACTTGTTCCCTTGTCATGCTTATCCCTAGAATTTGAACACTTTCTTCTTCTTGGGGAAATTAGTCTTCTTGTGATTTACTTAGACGTTTTATTCATTCATTTATTTTTTTTGAATGGTCTAAAAAGGAATTGTATCCATTTTTCCCTTTGTGAAAGGTCCATGACCTTTTTATTGCTAGGATAAAACATCTTTGGTAAAGAAATACTTTAACTGAGATTCGGTATTTTCTTTGGTAAATGTGCATATGCATGGTTAGAAAAAAAAACAAGAAGCTTTGTACCCGAAGTTTCTTCAGTCTTGCCTGGCCCGAGGTCTGGACAAATCTCTCCCACCCACGTCCCGCAACTGCTTGGTCCCAAGTAAACACACAGAGGCTTGTATTGTTTACACACTGTATGGCCTATGGGTCAGACTTCTTGCTAGCTAGTTCTTATAACTTAACCCATTTCTATTGATCTATATGTCTCCATGTGGCCGTGGTGTTATTGGTCTACTGACATGTTGCTCCTTAGGCGGTGGGCTGGCGTCTCCTACTCTCCTTTCTCCTCTCATTATCTCTCTTGGATTTTCCCACCTGGCTCCATCCTGCCCTGCCATAGGCCAGTGCAGCTTTTTTATTAGCCAATGGGAGTAACACATATTCACAGCATACAGAAAGACATTCCATAGCACTTCCCCTTTTCTGTCTAATCAAAAAGGAAAGTTTTAACTTTAACATAGTAAAATTACATATAATAGAACAGTTATCAAGCAAGAATTACAGTTACAATATCTAGTCTATTTGTATTTGGTAAATTTAAAGAAAATATTCTATCTATCCTATATTTGTTAAGTCTAAAGTTTTAGATCTAATTTATCTTTTATCATAACTAAGGAAAATTATAACTATCTAGTCTTCAACTCCATCAAAGACCCCAGAAAGATATAATATTACTTGAGTAAACAGGAAGTGCATTGCCAGCAACTCTCATAAGTCTAGAAATGACAGAGACATCTGGTTCCAAAGTTCCTCTGTAACGTTGGGGCATCTGTCTTCAGCCTACAGGTCTAGAGTCTCTGGCAGACTTTTTAGTGAAGCAGAAAATTTGAAGGTTTGTCTTTCATATTGACAAAGTTCATTAGTCACTTCTCCCTGTGTCCTGTAGAATGTCTGGCAGTCTCCTCTGTGAAGCAGGAACCTTAAGGACCATCTCGCCCTGTTTTGGCAAAGTTAGGGGGTCATTTTCCCATGGGTCCTGCATGTCCACTTTACATAACATAATGTCAAGCAGTCCAGGCAAGATCAGTTTCTTGCCCAAATGGTTAACTTTTGCCATAAAGAAAGCAGACTCCATATGGAGTTTCTTTGATGCCCATCATCCTCGTTGAAGTAATTAGTGCTGTCAGGAGCAGACATATCTCAATGTCCAGAAAAGTCAAAGTTCTTAAAACATTTTAAATGCCATATTCTGTAGGTCTTTGAAGTGTTTGAAGATTACCTACCTAATTGAAATATATCTATGTATACCCAGAAAACTAACATGACTATAAGTTTGATTATCATAGATGACTAATTATTAATCTGTATTTCTTAATTATACATTACAATTTTAATGAGTTGCATAAACATAATACCTTAAACAAGATAGAAATATATATACAGTATAACAATTAAGTTTGTATCAACAAACTAAAATTCATAGCAATGTAAAACATTTCAAACAAGGTGTTGTTCTTTAAAAGTAGATTCAGTAATTACCCTTTTATCCTATCATATCTATATCCTACATTTCTATATCACAGCTTTTGTTTTTTTTTAATTTATTTAGGTTTATTTTTAAAATTTATTTATGTGTTTGAGTGTTTTGCTTGCATGAATGTATGTGTATCATATGTGTGCCTGGTGCTCTTGGAGGTCAGAGGAGAGCATCAGATACCCAGGAGCTGGAGTTTCAAATGGTTATGAGCTGCTGTGTGGGTGCTAGGAACAGGATCTGGTCCTTTGCAAGAACAGCAAGTACTTATAACCACTAAACCGTCTTTGCAGTTACAGCTTTGCTGATTTTTAATGAAACGCTTGATACTTAGTAGTATTTGAAGTTTTTCTGTTTTTTAACTTAGTCATTTGACAAATTATCTCATAAAAGGATTATGTCTGTGGTCATGAATTTATTTTAGCATATGATAGAATGTATCAGTTTGTGTATTTTATATTTTTAAAGATCTTGTCTTTGTATTGAACATACTTAAAATTGCACTTTTGATATGGGGAGTACTTAAGACAGTGCTGAATAGGAAAGATTACCATATATAAGAGAGACTTAGAATCCTTAAACTTTCTAGCCATAAATAAATCCTAACCTAATATCTCACTGTCCTAGTATGAGTGTCTCATTTATTTTTATAGTCAGTAGCTTATTTACAATTTGTGGCTTATCCTCAGCTATTAAATTTGAGAAACAACAAAAAAATATTTAAAAAATTTTAAATTAATTAACTATTTGGACAAGTGTGATGGTGTATATCTGTAATATTAGTTCTTTGAGTCAGAGGGACAAGATCTGGGTCAAGGCCATCTTGGACTACGTAAGTGAGGCCCTGTTTTAAAAATCCAAGGAATGGAGAGGTAGCTCAGTAATGAGAGTGCCTGCCTAGCACATGCAAGGCCAGGTTTGATTACTAGCCCTGTCCTGACCCCACCTGCCCCCCACCCCCAGATAAGGAAAGCATTTATAAAGGTGGTCTGCCTGATTAATAATCTACTTAATAATCTCTTGACTTCCTTTGAACATTGAGTGTCTTTTGGTCCTATTTGGGAGCCATAACTATTATCATATAATTCTAATGTAATAGATGATGTGATCAGGAAACTATAGAAATTTTATTGAGAAGTATGTATATGTAGAATGCTATGGTTTCCTGAGTGGAAGAAATAGATTAACCTGGGATGTGAATAAAATTAACGTGTTACACTTTTCATTGTTTGGAGATACTAGCTAAGAAAACAGTTGGGAGGGAAGGAAGGTTTTTTGGTTCATAGTTTCACAGGTTTCTGAACATTAAGGTTGAGAGGGTGTGGTAGAGCAGAGTGGCTCCCATCCTGACTGACAGGGAGCAGGCCTAAGCTGTTTTTTCCTTTCCTGCCTTGGATTTTTGTTCAGGCCTCCAGTCTGTGGGATGGTGCCACTTGTATTCAGAGTGGGTCTTCCGTTCTTCCCTTGTCTTTAGAAACATCCTTAAAGTCACCTCCGGTGGTATGCTTTACTAATGTTTACCAGCTGCTTCTCAGCTCATTCAAGTTGTTACAAGATTAACCTTCAAACATAGTATAGCCTAACAAGTTAAAGGATAGTATTTCTGTGGTAGGCTAGTCAGGTGATTACCCCTTTAAGAACTTTACAAACGTGAATTCATTATTCTAATTGCCCCCAAGTCCTACTGGTCTTTCAAATCTAAATAGTTACTATAAATGTGTGCTTTTAATGCACTTTGTGTTGTCTCTCCTTAATGAGTAGTTAAGAAAATGTAGATCTTGTAATGGTATGTATGATGGCCCAGAGTTTAAAAAAGACCCTTGTTGTGTTTTATAACTTCAGTTTACATGGAGAGAGAATTGCATTGGTAAATAGATAAATCAGAGGAAATGTTAAGGGACAGATAAGTGTAAGACCTCAGATAGTCAATATTAAAGAATCTACCTTACTCAGAGATAATGGTGGATACAGGAATGTTTTAAAGAGTAGGATGAGTACTCGGTCTTAGAAGGGTTAGTATTGTGTGAAAATAGATTAGAGAGTGATATAAGCCTAGATAGTCGTAATTCTTGGCAGACTTTCAGAAGTATAGCTTGAGATGATGGCACTGTGAATGAGATGATGGTGAATACAAATAGAAGAGGTATATGAGTTATTTAGGGTTAGGAATAGGAAGAGGAGAGAAACAAGGGTTTTTTAGGCATGTTTTGCATTGGACAAATGGAGAGAGACGGCCATGATATAGAATGCATGAGTTAGGAACTTAATAATGAGTTAGTTCCATTTTGGATGTGTTGACTTTGAGGAGCCCGTGGAACATGCAAGAAGTATCTTATATTACTTGTATATAAGAAGTTGACATTTTGAAAATAACTGGGTATTATGTGACAAAACTTTTCCTGGGGAAATGCAATGCACACATCTACTCACCTAGATAAGGGGTCCCATGATAGACCAAAGTACAGATACTACCAAAGTCAACTTGGTGAACCAGTGAGTTTTATTGGGGTTACTTACAGGAACAGAAATGACTGATAGACATCTGCATCATCAAAGCCCACTCTAGAGTTGGTGACAACTCACAAAGCTGGGAACCCGGAGCACACTGTACAGTCTGCAGGTAGCTCATCAGGCCAGAGAATGTCCTTTCCAGGGGCCTCAGTTGTTCTTGTCCTCTTAACATGCAGCTCAACTGATTTCTGCTTCTTTCAGGCAACTGGTCTGGTATCAGTCTTTGCAGGTGGCTTGTCTGAAAATCTTTCCAGCTTTTACTGCTTACTCTGGCAGGGAGGGGCCTAGTGATTCTGGTCACTTTCACTGATTTCCTGAATTTGTTTTGAGTTGTTTACCTTCTGTTTAAGGAGCTTCCCTGTAGGATGGAAAGTTTCAATCTAGGAGGAAACTGTTAAGTAGCACTTGGCTAGCTCATAAATGAAAAATAGAGTTGCATGGTTGGATAAAATAGCCCTAGGGAACAGAGAGTGACAATATGCCATAGAAAAAGTCTCAAGAGAGCAATTGTTTAAGAGATAGGCAAAAGATTTTCTTACTAATGCTGGATATTTTGTTCTTTATTTTAGAATGATGCTGAAACATTACAGAAGTGTCTTATTTTGTGCTATGAACTATTGAAGCAGATGTCCATGTCAACTGGAATTGGTGCAACTATGAATGGGATCATTGAATCTTTGGTACACTGCTAGCCTCTGAGGCCTTATACTCCTCTACCTTATATAATATGTTCATTAGTGCTTAAAATAATTAGAAGACTACCATTGAAAACATCTGAGAAATACAAATAATGAACTATATGCATAGTGACTACTTCATAGTATGTAGAATAAATAAGATATGCATTTTTATAAAGTCACTGTTTTAAATGAAATAGAAATGGTTCACTCAGCATATATTCATTGAATGCATATTATTTAAGAAATGCTTGAAATATAGTGTACATAATATACAAAACATACAAATTGCCATCCTGGATCTTCTGCTTAAGTGAGGACATTGTTAAAAAATAGACACTATATATATTTATGTACTTATATGTGTGTGACAATAACAAAAAAGAGGCCATCAATTTCAGTGGGGAGAGGGGCGGGGAGCATGCAGTGGGTGGGAGGGGACGTGGAAGGAGTTGAAGGGAGCAAAGGGAAGAGGGAAAGGGGATGTAATTAAAAAATAAAAAATAGTTACTTAGGCTATTGACACTGGTTATGAAGATTTATAAGGTCATAAGTTAACTTAATTGCAGGGTTTGACCTATTCAAAGAGAATGATCTTGGCTATATTTAAAAGATTTGTAAAAAGGATAGGGAAGAACATTTAAAACCAGAGCCCTTATAACTATTAAAAACTAGTTTAGATTGATGCATACTATAATAACAGTTTTAAAGATGGAAGAACATAAATTTATCTCACTAATAATTTTTGTCATTTACATTCTGTAGCAATATTTTGTGTGTGTAAGATAAACTGTAACATAAAAATTGTACTTTACTGATTTCTTTTTGCTTTAATGTAGATTTTAAAATAACCAAAGTGACATGTGGTTTTTATTTGTGGCCTTTATTTTATTTCTGTTGGTTGGTACTGAATAGGAGGCATCAAAATCAGACAGTTGAACATGCTAAAAACACTGTGCAATGTGTCTTAACTGAGGATGTAGGAAGTACTACACATTATATTAAGGAGTTTTGTCTCATTTTGTTAGCATTGGGAATCCTTGAATCAATATTAGCAGTTATCGGAATGTTACATATTGAAACAGGAAAGGTGCTCTGGCTGTGTTCTGCTTAATCAACATTATAATTACCCCCTTTCCATTTTTTTAACTGATAAAACTTTCTTCTTTAATATCATGGAATAGTATGGAAATGAAATAGCCTTACAAAATCATATGGAAATCATCATTTTGATTGTTATTTTAATATGGCATTGTAAATTTCTTGCCTTGGTCAAAATTATTTTAATTTTTACTTCATTGTAGATTCTTCCTGGAATAATAAGTGTTCATCCTATAGTAAGAAATTTGGCTGTTTTGTGCTTGGGATGCTGTGGACTACAGAGTCAGGATTTTGCAAGTAAACACTTTATGTTATTCTTACAGGTAGGATTTATTTTATGACAAAATCATGTGTCTATTTCCTGAAATGCTTTGTATCGCCGGTGATACGTTAATAATCTAGATATGTTCAGCTGCTTATTGATGATTATGGATAATCTTTAGGGATTCAGTTTTTATCTTGATAGCTTATCAAGATGTCCTAGAAAAAAAATAGAGTATAGCTTATATGAGTGCACATACTTTGTGCTGTAAGTGTTCTCAGCTTAGATAAATATAATACTAAGTGATGAAGAGAACCAACTTAAAAGTCTGTGCTGTTGGAGCTTGCATTCTTGAACAAACAGTGAGAAATCAGTATGGGTTATGCCAGCTGAGCAGAGATAGAGCATAGCAGCATCAGGAATAGGAATGAGAAGAGGGAAGGGTGTTATTTCATTGATGTGGCCATAATTATATTTTATTTTTATATAAAATTATATTTCTCATAATTATATTTCTCTATGACATTCAGGATCATAGAGAAAAGTTCAAAGAGCAAACCTTAGAAATACTTGGGTTCCTTATTTTTATTTTTTTTCAAGATTTTATTTCTCTCTGTCTCTGTCTCTGTCTCTGTGTGTGTGTATGCCATGTTTTGAGGCAGAAGAGGGCATTGAATTCCCAAGAGTTACAGCTGGGGTTAGAGCTGGTTTTGAGCTGCCTGACATGGGTGCTGGGAACTGAGTTTGTGTCCTTTGCAAGAGCATCAATTGCTCTTAATTGCTGAGCAACCTCTCCACCTCACACATCTGAGTTTCTTAGTGAAGAGAAGAATAGAGGAGAGAGGTCTTGGGGGTAGTCCTTTCTTTTGCCTGTTGGAGAAACAGGAGGACATATGTGTAAGCAAAGTGACCTATAACAGGAGAAAGAGTTTGTAGGATATTCATGTCTTCCAAGAACTTACACTGTGAAAACACAGATTTTCACAATGAGTGATTCAGGGAAGAAAATTTGTTTTGTTTTGATTCTTTTTGACCCCAACCCTCCCACCCCATACCCTTCTACCTCTTAGAACCTCCCTTCTGCTTTAATGTCACATGTGTCCTATATTCTCTGAACCCTTCTTTTTCCTCTCTTGTGCATAACCCCACCCCACTTGTATACGTCCCTATAAATATTGTTAGCTTGGGATTCAACAGTCCAGTAAGTTATCTCACTTAATACAGTTGTTGGATCTGGCCATGTTTTTAAAGTTGAAAGTATTTGTGAATGATAGCAGATTGAAGGGCAGAAAACTTCTGAAGTTGGCCTATATTTTGTATACTGTTCCAAGTTGTGATTTTTAATTTATTTTTTAATTTTTTATTTATTGTTTAGCCTTTTCTTAGTTTATACAGCATAGTCCATGATCAAAAGAAGATAACTACTGAGTAGACACAATCTTGTATCTTTATAAAAGTTGGGTACTTTGTGTGTGTGTTTACCTTATTTTTTTATTTTTGATGTTTTGAGACAATTTCTCTTTGTTGCCCTGGCTGTCCTGGATCTCACTTTATAGACTAGATTGGCCTTGAACTCAGACATATGCCTGCCTCTGTCCCCATACTGCTGCAATTAAAGGCGTGTACCTCCATGCCTAGCTGTATAAAAGTTTTTTTAAAATAAGTATTCTCAAGGCTTTCATTGCACAATTTTTAGATGAGTAATGAAATGTCTATATTGGGGTAAGAAAAACTTGTTAAGTGCTAATAATAAAAATTGATATAATGTATAAAGATTTGTTAGAAAAGCAGAAGAGGGGAATTATTTCATCTTAAAAATCTCCTTAGAATTGAATATTGGTAGCTATTGCTGCATATTAGGGGCATGAGTGTAATAAGGAAACTGTGGATGCTGAGGTAGTAGTGTTTCTGGAGTTCCCAGAGCCATCATAATACCATGTTGTTAAAAGAATTTGGTTTTGGCAGATTTATAGGACTCATTCTCAAAACATGTAGTGGATATGTTCTTGAAATTCTCTTCAAAGTTTTGAAAATAAGTCATTTTTCTAATTTGACTACACAGAAGTGATTTTAGTTAATCTTTCATAATAGAATCCCTTTCCCCCGTGGTTTTGGAATTTGCTGTGTAGTGCTTAACTCAAGATAGACTTAAACTGTTTGTGTGCATATGCAGAGATCTATGTGAGGTATCTTCCTCAGTTTCTCTTCCATCTAACTTTGAGACAAGGATCTCTCACTGAACCAGGACATCCTTGATTTGGTTAGGTTGGTTGGCCAATGAGCACGAGGGATCTACCTGTCTCTGTCCCCCCCAGTGATAGGGTTAGAGAATGCTATGCATCTAGCTTCCTGTGTGGATGCTGGTTATCTGAAATGAGGTCTTCATGCTTACATTTGACAGGCACTTAACCAACTAGGCCATTTCCCTAGCTCCCTAAACTGCTTTATAGCGTCTGGTTGGCAGCTGAATTCACTGAATGAAATCTGAATTTATTAAGTGTACTGACATTGTAACAGAGTTTTAAATTCATCAAAATGTAATTTATTTTTTATTTTTTTTGGGTTGGCAGAGAAAACAGTTTACATGTAACTATACAGTTTTTCTGGATCTTAGAAAATGATAAAATTTTACCATTGTTGAGTTCTTTTTTTCTTATGCAAGGACCAAATAATACAATCCAGCCAGACTCTGACTCCAGAAATTTTCCACTGCAAAGATTGATTTAAGGACTAAAGCTCTAGATGTTATGAGCTAAATAAACATACTTCTTTTTGAAAATTGAAATTTTAATTATAATTCTGAAAAAATTTGTTTTGTTTACACTTAACACTGTCACTGAAATTTAACTAAGAAAAGGTACTTTTATTTAGGATATAGAATTAAATTGTTTTACTGAATTTTTTTGGGTGCATGTCTAATTGTAGGTTTTGCAAATTGATGATGTCACAATAAAAATCAGTGCTTTAAAGGCAATCTTTGACCAGCTGATGACATTTGGGATTGAACCATTTAAAACTAAGAAAGTTCAGGCCGTTCACTGTGAAGGTGCAGAAATAAACAGTGATGATGAACAAGAAGTGAAAGATGTTGAAGAGACTGCTGCAGCTAAGAACGTTCTGAAGCTCCTTTCTGATTTCTTAGATAGCGAGGTAAGAAATCATTCAGCTCTACAGCTATGAAATATTTGCAGCCTGTGTTTGTGTTCTTAGGTCTTAATTTTTGTACCAAAGTTTTACCTTTGAGACAATTTTATTTTTAAAAATATTAATTTAAAATATAAATTTTACAAGTATTATAGTTTTATTAAAATGGTCTGCAAAGAATTGAAAATTCTTTTGTCACAATATTTTTATCACAGTAACAGAAATGAAATTAGAACAGATACTGTTGTAAATGAACATTTTTTCCTCTTTTAAAGATATTTTTTATTAAATATATTTTGTTTTTTTCTTCATTTCCTTTTGTTCACTGCTCTAGAACAGAAATTCAGCTGAGGGGTGTGTGTGTGTGTGTGTGTATAACTTTACAACTTTGCTGAATTGAATTAGCTTATTGACAAGTAACTTTGGAAAGGGGATTCTTGGGATTTTTCTTTGTAGAACCATGTTATTTCTGAACAGGTACAATGTTAATGTCATGCCTTTTGTTTCTTGTTCAATTGCTCTGCTTCATTTTCTGGTACAGTGTTAAGTGGCTGAAGCAGATGTCCTTGTCATATTTTTGGTTTGAAGGGGAAAGTTGTGAATCTTGTTAATAAATGTGGTATTGGTTATAAGGTTTTTATGAATGCCCTTTGTCATTTTGAGAGGATTACTTTCTATTCTTAAATCCATGACTATTTTGTTTGTATTTTAATAAAAAGATTTTAAATTTTGTCAGGTGTTCTTTTTGCTTCAGTCAATATGATCATGAGGGATTTTCTTCTCTTTGATATGTTGATAATAGTATATAACATTACTTGATTTCATATGCACCACCTGTGCATTTCTGTGATAAATTCTGCTTGCTCATGATGCATAACCCTTTCACTGTGTTAATGAATTTGGTTTGCTACTCTTTTGATGGAAAATTTTTCATGTTTTCATAAGTGATAGTCATCCATAGTTTTCTTATGATGTCTGATTTTCTTTCTCCCTATTTTCTATTGTTTACCTAATTCTAAGTTTTGTTTGCTTTACAGTCTGATTATTTGCTCTTTTCCTGTTCAGTAAGGTGTAATTTATGTTACTGATTTGAGATTTTTTTTTTAAATGTAGATATTTATTACTACAAAACTTTGCTCTGGGCACCATTCATTGTAATCCTATAAGTATTTTATTTTAGTTCTGATTTCTGAGACAGCCATATTTAGTTTATACTTACTTTGCAGGAAAAGCTAGCTTCAAACCTGCAATTATATTTCACTTTTATCAAATTCAGAATAAAATTAATGATTTTTGGATAGTTATTTTAAAATATCGCACATGACTGTAAAAAGAAACTAGAGATAAAACTTTCTGATTGAGTGTCATTTCTACTAGGTGTCTGAACTCAGGACAGGAGCTGCAGAAGGACTAGCCAAGCTGATGTTCTCTGGGCTTCTGGTCAGCAGCAGGATTCTTTCTCGTCTTATTTTGTTATGGTATAATCCTGTGACTGAAGAGGATGTTCGACTTCGACATTGTCTAGGCGTGTTTTTCCCCATGTTTGCTTTTGCAAGCAGGTATTGAGTCATTCATTGCTAAAATCTTATTTGAAGTCAGATTTAGGACACCCTCCCCCCACATGCACACCTGAATTATGTCTATGTCATTTTGTTGTTGATACACCTTCTTTCAGTAGATGAATGGTAAGAATGTAACATAAATTTTATATAACTAGATTTTTATCTTTTTCCTGCATGGACGTATACCTTATAGATACGTTTTGTGCATATTTTAGAATTAAACTTTTCTCTCAATTCTCTCAAATAACGTTTTGCCAGCATATTTGTAAATGGAGTTTTTAGTTTCTCCTTTTGGTCAGATCACTTTATTCAGAAGCTTGAAGTTAGGGAGGGCCAAAAAGGTTAATGGGATCTGAAGTCTTCAGCAGGGCAGATGTCCTTGGCCTTGTACTGAAAGCTGGAATTGGTTTCAATAGGACTAATCAGGAATGCTTTGAAGAAGCCTTTATTCCAACTCTGCAAACGCTGGCCAATGCTCCGGCCTCGTCTCCTTTAGCTGAAGTAGATGTCATAAATGTTGCTGAGTTGCTTGTTGATCTGACAAGACCAAGTGGATTAAATCCTCAGGGAAAGAATTCCCAAGATTATCAGGTGTGTATGTTAGCCTGTGGGTGGCAAATACAACTGAATGAATATCATTGTTGTTTGATTAAAGAATTCCTTCTGCTGGGTTCTTTGAAATGTGATGAATTACATTTATATTTCGAGGTTTTTGTTTTTCTGGTTTATAAAGCAGTTGCAAGAGGGGAACAAGATCTTTGGGGAAATGTGGAGAAATCATGGAAATAGAAATGATCATTGCAAATGTTTTGCCCTTCATCATTTCCAGTACCTTTCTCCTCACCTCGCAGGGTAATCATTGAAGTAAAGACCTCTGTTATCTGAGATTCATTACCATCTGCAAATGTAATGAGGACAATTTAAAGGCAAGAGTTTATCTAAAGCTTGTTTTGGCTTTTAAGTGGAGCATATAAGTCAACTGCAAGCTCATCTATAATTTAATTATAATTAAACTGGGTTTTAAAATCCTTTAATGACATTCTTGAATACTTTAGAAATTTGATGTCTTAATGATTTCAGATGTCAACTAGAAGTTGACAATTTTGTTCTATTTGTATATTTTTTTGTTATTTAGTGACTACTCTGTTACAACATTATATATTATTGAGAAGATTATATTACAAAGGATATTAAGCAAAATATGTTAAGGAACAGTTATTAGCTATCAAGTGCTTTTGGAATTTAGAAAAATATAAGATTTCTTATAGGAACAATGAGCATATCATTAGTTTTATTTTATTTGCATTGTTGGGAATTACAACTAAGGTTTTGTTGGTGCTACACAACTGTTTTACTGCTGAATTATATCCCCAGCCCTCTTTTTATTTATTATTTTGAGAGAGGGCATTATTAAGGTGCTCAGGCAGGCCTTGAATTTGCAGTTCTACTGCCTCAGATTCCCAAGTAGCCAGGATTACAGGCGTGTGCCATTAGACCTGGCTGCCTTGGGCCTGGTTGCAATTTGAGAAGTGGATTGAGTAGAAACGAAAGATGTATATAGATATATCTATATATAAAGACAGTAAATGTAGGTGATTATGCAAAGGTTGGAGTTAGCCCTATGTGCAATGTATATAGAGGACTTAGTATTAAAGGGTTAATAGGATGAGACCTACTTACTAAGAATACTCATTTAATGGTCACTGATGGTTATATGAGGTGACTTGGTGAGAAAATTTGGAGAAAGCTTGAGAGGCAAAAGAGATGGCTAAATCTAAGAAAAGTCTATAGTCTTAAGTGTGAGTAACAGTATACTTCATAGAATTCTTAGAAGAGTGAGCAACATATTCTGGGGCATAGGTCAGATTGAATTTGCATCTAAATAGTTTCAGTTGATTGTATAGGAGTTCTAGAACTGAGATGTTCTTTTGAGTTGCTCAGAATTGAAATGAGCTCCACTGTGGTACCTGTGCATTTTTTAGCTAGCCATTGGGTGTGGACTGACCTTTAAGGGCAGTGGTGTGAGTTTGGGAAAGGCCCACTTTCATCAGCCTGGATCATTTCAACAACTGGCTGATACTTCAATCCTAAAGCGGGTAGACCTGTTCTTTGTACCGTAGTACCCACTATATCTAATAAAAGGAGCTTCTTTTGGAGGCAGGGAGATGTAAATTTAGGTTTAGACATTTTGTGAATGAGACTTTTGCACGATAGCTAGAAATATTTTGTTTGATCTATAGAACTGTATTATGATGAAGGCATTTTTATTTTTAATTTTTTAGGCCTTAACAGTACATGACAACTTGGCTGTAAAAATTTGTAATGAGATCTTAACAAGTCCACGTACACCAGAAAATCGGGTTTATACAAAAGCTTTGAGTTCTCTAGAACTCAGTAGCAGTGTTACAAAAGATCTCCTGCTTCTGTTGGATGAGATTCTGGAGGTAAAGCAGTTTTGAATACTCTTGAGTCATTCATGTTCATATATTTAGATGGATGTATTAAGTAATACCTGTTATTATATATTCTGCCTGTTCATTTGAAATAATTGTTTCCTTCATGAATTTCATATAATTTAAGAATGTTTTCAAACAACTTGATACTGATATTGGCATATAACTTTTGACAGATTAATTTATTTTATATCTCTCCCCAGCAAGTAACAGATAGGACATGTCTGAGAGCTTTGGAGAAAATCAAGATTCAGTTAGGAAAAGGAAGTAAAGAATTTGACCAAACTGTAATAGCACAGGATGTCAACACGACTACAAATGCTCTTCAGAATGAAGATGGTAATTATATTTTTCATTTTTACTGAGATTTTTATTCTGTTTTGATTGAATTTCAGAAATGAACAAAAATCTTTTTCTTTTCATCTCTTGGGAAAAGCTGTCATACATGTGTTTATTCTACTTTTCAGTGTATTTGAGTACATTTCCTTACTAACTATCTCAACAGGAGCTTCATTTTGTAGTGTTCACACTTTTGGAATGGTGATTTATTGTAATCATCAGGAGCTGCTAATAGGACTATTTTCTGTTTGTTTTATGTGAGATAAAAAGATGACTTAAAAAAACCAGACTGCCTTTGTTTTTATTTTTGTATGATTCCATGTATAGAAGAATATATGACTCCTCGGAGGGATATGAAAGGAACTCAAGCATCCAAATCCACACAACGAAAGACTAACAGAGGTACTGTGTGGATTGACTGCATCTTACAATACAACTGTTTTCAAGTTAAAATACTAACTTTGAAGGCTTTACTTTCTTAGGAATAAAGTGTTGAATGTCTTTGGGATGCTTAACTTTCTTTACTTCCTTCAGTTGATGGGAATTCTTGATTTTTCTGAAGATTGTAAGATTATTATTGCTCCAGATGCTTTTGAATGAAAAATATACAGAAGATTATATAATTAAGGGCTCTTTGTAGGTAAATTAAGAATAGGTTAAGTTGCCCAGAGGCATGCCTTTAATCCCAGCACTTGGGAGGTAGAGGCAGGTGGATCTCTTGATTTCGAGGACAGACTTGTCTACAGAGTGAGTGCTAGGACAGCCAGGGCTCTGTAAAGAGCCTTGTATCAAAAAACAAAACTAACCAAACAAAAAAGGTTAAATAATAGTTTTATATTTTTAGTAGTATTAATTTTTTGTGTGAATGAGCATTTTTTTCCTCCTTGAAATTTTTGCTTTTCTTTTTACTTCGTTTTCCCCATCTAATTGCATTTTTTTCCCCTCAACTCAGTTTCCCAAGGGGTATCCAACAGTAGAGAATTTGTTGGAATAAATACTGATTTACTAGTAAGGGACCACGTGGAAAAAATCTGAAATTCAAGGCCTTTTTAATTGTTTTATTAGTTCCTTATTACAAAAGCAATGCATGCTTATTACAGAAGAATAAGAAAGTACATCCAAGCAGACCTACCATCAAGAACACTAATAGTCCCACCCATGAGCCAAACATGATTTGAATTATGGAAAATAGTTTTATGGCTCTGTTCTAAGTATATTTAATCTTTTCTAGAATAGAATCTGGCCATAATATTGTTTCATAACAAGCCAATTATTTAAACACCAATTACTGGATATTGTTCCAAATTAGTTCCATATTCTTGGATGTCTTCCTGGGGATAAATACATTAGTGAAAGCAAATAAATAAACTCTGAGGGGGAAATATGTAACAATGAATAGAGTATATACAATTTTCAAATAAATTGTCAAATGAACAAATGATTTTGATCAGATTTTAGTTACAGAATAAAGTATGAGCACTCCACCTCCTTTTTTTTTTAGTAGTCCAAACTTACTGTATAAATTCTATATTTTACTTCTTAGAAATGAGGAATCTTACAGGCCAGATTTAGTATGTCTCTCTCTCGCTCTCTTTTTTTTTTTCCAGAATAGGTTCTCATATATCTTAGGCTATCAAAGTCAATATTCACTATTGACTTTGAACTTCTGATTACAGATTGGGAATATAGGTGCTGTACCACCACGCTCCATTTTACATGGTCACTCAAACCAGGGCTTTGTACCTGCTAAGCAAGCATTCTACCCACTGAACTACATTCTCCAGTTCTTAGTTCTCTACCTTGTAAAATAATCTAACAAGTAAACCCTGGTGTATAGAGGTCCTTTTTTTTTTTTTAAAACAAACAAACATTGAATTATATTTAAGAACATTTGAATTTGCCATATATCTGTTTAAGTATTTTACAAGCAGACTGTTTCTTGCTGTTTAAATTTGAAGACAGGTATGACAGTGTCAGACTGTAATAACAGCTATTCTAGAGGCTGTGTGAGTCTATCAGTTCAAGGCCAGTCTAGCTAGGCAGTAGTGCTTCAAAGATAAACATACATAATAAAAATAAAGTTCCATTTTGGAGCTGTTCATTGATTGAATTTACCTTTGTAATCTTTTGCTGGTTTTTCCGTATACACTGTACCCTGCTGTAAGAGAAAACCGTTAGTATGTGCAATCATTCACTTATGCACTAGTATGCATGTGGAGGTTAGAGGACAGCCTGGGGTGTGGCTCCTTATTCACAGTCTACTTGTTTTGGAAAGAAGAGTTCATCACTGGTTTGGAGTTCTTCCAAGTACTGAGCCCTAGGGATCTGCTTGTCTCTTGCCTTCCCAGTGCTGAGATTGTGAGCTTGGGCCACCACACCTGACTGTTATGTGCGTTCTGGCATTTCAACTCCAGTCCTTATTTTAATAGAGCCAGCACTTTAAGAACTGAGCTATCACACCGAGCCTGAGATGTTTTTATCACCTTATGTGGTGAGCTAAAGTTTGCATCTTTGTCATGTATTTGTAGTGCTCATCCAAAGAAATTTATGTAAATTTTAGTCATTTTCCCCCTACTGTGGTGTATTGAGAGCATAAAGGTGGCTAGGAATAAGAAAATGTGTTGAAGAAGATTGTTGTGCTGAAAGTAAAGATTTAGATACCCTGGAAACTAGATTTAGGAACATGAAACCATTTAAAATTTTGCCAATAAATTATACTGTCTTTAAGGACGGAGAAAAGCACCAGTTTCATCTAGGACCAACAGGAGACGTCAGGCTCCTGAGACTGACTCTGAAAGGTATGTTGTATGTTTCTACAAGACACAGAAGATGCTAATTAACTTTTATTTTGCTCAGAAGTAGAAAATTGTAATTTTCTTGTGAGAGAAACTTGGTATATTACAAGATAGTAAAAGCCATAAATATCTGTGACTTTGGCAGACAGTCTGAAATTCTCCATCAAGAACATTAGACTTATGAAGAGGTGTGTATTTTTATTAGTTGGCATCACCTTCGTAGTAGTTAATGTGTTCTCAATTTCCATGTATTCTCATTACCTGACCTTGTGTATATGACTCTTTATCTTGATTTAGATAACATTTGGATTCTTTCTACTACAGTTCTGTTTATAACTTTAGTTTATTAATGGTTTGTATTAATAGTGTTTATTCTCAGTCAATGTCAAGCCATAGTAGAGCCTGAAAAGTTTGTAGCTGTCTTGCATTCGTTTATTCATTGGTATTGGACTGTGCATATTTTCTTAGATTAAGTGCTTTTGGGAGAACTTAACGTTGTTTTGGTAATTTACTAACTTTATTAAGAGAACATAGTAATGTTTTTTCACTTGAATTCCAAAACTGTTTAGGACAGATTGTTGTGGTCTCTATGTACTTACAAGCTTAACTATAAAAGCTTGGTGTTTGCTTCTTTCCCTATATGACACCAGGCTTCACCAGTAGATTAAAAATTACCAAATTAGCCAGTTGTTCTGTGATTCATGTGGCAGGGCAGCCATCCAGCCAGTGTTTTTTGGTTATTGCTTGGGATTTTAGTTTTAAGCTTAGTTAATAAACTCAGGCTATCAGTTATACACTGTTAGAATGTCAGAAACTAAGTTTTCTTTATAAATATTCTGACTTTTAAAGCTTATATCTAAATGAATGTATTTTCAACATCTGTCTAGTGATCATGATGTTCCAGAACCACCATCAGAAATGAAGATGAGATTACCAAGACGAGCCAAGACAGCAGCACTAGAGAAAACTAAACGTAATCTTGCTCAGGTGCTTAATGAAGAGCCGAGTTAAGAGAGTTGACAAGGACGTAGTCCTTTGAAGTTGTGCTTATTTCTTTGCTTTAATAGTTACTGTGGTAAAAATAAGAAATACCTGCTGTGTTTCTGGAAACATGGAACGTTGCCACATGACTTTGGCATCTGTCAGTGTGATCCATCTGCATGGATCCAGACCTTTTTTATTAGAATGTTAATTGGGCCTAGGAACCTGATTTTAAATTAGGTTCCCAAGGTGAACCCTATGAAACTATGACATTTGGAAAGATGTATCATAAGCCCAGTAGCTTATATTTGAGAAGCTTAAATAGAGTAGATCTAACATAGGTGACAGTGTCAGACAAATGGCATTTGAAGGGTGAGTACTTGCAGCTATACAGAAAGCTGCTTATTACCATTGAGGACTGGTATAATGAACCAAAGCATTCCTTATTTACATGAAACAATGGCTTTGAAAATTGTATGATTCCCATATTAAGTATTTATTTGATAATCTTACCTCTGAGTCATTTTCTCTTCCTAAATCTTTCCATATAGGAACACTTGTTTATGAATGTTTCTGGATTAGGGAGATGTCCACACACATTAATCATGAAGAGACATTGGTTTTTGGCACATCAAAGAATAATCTAGTTGGAATGATAAACAGTACTAATCGGAAATGAAAGTTATAAGAAGTCATCTTTATGTACTGATTTATGAGCAGTTTTTTTTGCTCAATTTCAATTATCTTTTAAAATTGTCACTTATGAAACATAAATGTTTTGAAAGCTGCATTGTATAAAAGTAGTCCTTTTTATTTCTGCCATATCCAATGAAACACCTATATTATTTCTGATAATGACCTTTTCTCTTTATTTCGTATAAAAATGTTCTAACATGGCCGGGCGGTGGTGGCGCACGCCTTTAATCCCAGCACTCGGGAGGCAGAGCCAGGCAGATCTCTGTGAGTTCGAGGCCAGCCTGGGCTACCAAGTGAGTTCCAGGAGAGGCGCAAAGCTACACAGAGAAACCCTGTCTCGAAAAACCAAAAAAAAAAAAAAAATAAATAAAAAATGTTCTAACATGAATTTTTTATTAATTGTGCTTCTTTAAATTTATTTGCCAGAGGCCATTTATTTCAACTGATGTTCTGAGATGGAGTGAAGGTGATATTGCTGGTTTTTAGAACCAAAAGGCTATTCTATGTACATAATATGTGCTTCATAGAACTCAGAAAAGGAGTCAAAGTTACAAAGCAAGAATGCTCATTAAGCAAAAGGAAAAGGCAGATCTGTTAATGATATAAACCAATGAAAAACATTGTTGTTCTTCATCTCTTGGCTCTGTGTCTTTTCCTGTGCTTCATATTCCTTATTGTTATAGCTCCTGTTAAATCCCTGTCTTAAAAAAATTCACAGAGAATAGGAAGTAAGCAGGACCAAAATGGTATATAACACGATGGCGATGTAAGGGGAAGCCTCTAGGAATGAACTATGATCCCATTTGTACATGTGCAGAGTATCCAAAAGGAAAGATGCTATGATCATGTAGACACTGTACCAAAAGCTTGCTTTTCTGACATAGGAAAACCCGCTTTTAATCACTAACCATTAGTAGTAGTCTTAACTACTCAGACTTTAGACAATAGCCATGGCTGCAGGTGTACTTTGCATCATTAGCATAGTAAGGAATATTGTCCGGCTTCTACAGGCTATCCCTGTAAGCTTTGGAGTAAATTGCTAAACTACAATAAAACCAACAGGTATAAAAACAGTTATCTCTTTTTTCATTCAAAATTGTTAACTTAAACCAGTGTTCTTGTTTACCATGAGGTACAAATTTGCTGAGGGGTAAACATGCAATTGTGCCATTGCTCTTATGGCCCACAGATGAGAGTTTTAAATTACAGAAAGAGAACTGATAACCTAATTTTTTTTATGAATGAAAACATGCTGTATTTGATAAGCTAATCAACCTTTTTTTATACATATATAACTTTAGAAGAGATATACTTCCAAGTGATACCTTTGCCTTTCCCAGTTTGCTTCGAGGTAGTTAGTATCCACCTGTTACACAACTGTTCATGGGTTAGGTCATTATCACACACCTTTACAATACTAGCTTTCTAAATTACAGAATCTGTATAGTTCAAACTGCACAGAAATAGAACTGGGCAATTACATATTTAAACTGAGGGCATTAAAAAATTCACCAATAAAAAGAGAAACATCAAAATCTGCTTTTGTTGCAAAACTCCACTATGGTTTTGTGTAATATTTGTAAAAAACAGAATTATAATAAAAATGATTAATGCTAATGATTTAATATAAAGACAGATCACAGGACTAGAAACGTTTTAGGATCAATTGGTTTTCATGAGAAAGAATATTGACATACAAAATAAAGATAGTGCAAGAACTACAGACTATTTTTCTTCATTTTTGAGATTTTGGTTATGAACTGTACAGCTTCCTAGAGATGCTGCTGTTAGATTCCATTCAATAGGATGATTAAGGCACATCTTAATGGGGCTCAATGGGCAGCTTGCTGTGTTCCCATCAGACAAATCCACTCTCTCATCAGTTTTCATTTGTAGTACTCTGTAAAAAAAAAAAAAAAGTATTAGGCATTTTAAGTTTAAATTTCAAATTGTCAGCTTTGTAGATGAAAAGTTTGGAATACTGTTTGCACCCTAAAGCAAGTAAGCAATGTATTTATCATCCTGACAGTTCTTGTTCTATATGCTGCCTTAGTGAACTGTGATCAACTATGCCATGTGTAAGTATGCCTTGAGGTGTTCACTTAGATACCCCAGTACAAAAGATGTCAATCACTTCATTAGCTTAGTTTATAGAAGAAAGGCCTTAACTTACTGGAAGGTTCAACCCTTTAGCATCAGGACTACTTTTAAGAGAATGAACATTTGTTAATTCCTGTTGTGTTCTAGACTCATTCACATGCAATTATCTCATCTTAATTTCATAGCTAAGCAAGGCTGTGTATTTACAGTGATGAACTGAATCTCTGTAAGTTAACTATAAATATGATGTCATACTGTACTGGTGTAGAACTGGAAACATAACCCTTCCTCTTTTCCTTGCTCTGTTAGCTTTCTAGTGGACTGATTAATCATTAGGAGTAGACAAAAAAAGTAGGCATGTTTTGGTAGAAGAGTATCAAGTTGTGCAGCTTGTCTTATCTGGTGGCCAGCTTGACACAGGAACAGAGGTAGCACCTACAGGATACTTAGTATTCTGCTTGCCTTTTCTTCTTGCTTTTTTTGTTTTGTTTTGTTTTGTTTTTTTTGAGACAGGGTTTCTCTGTATAGCTTTGGAGCCTGTCCTGGAACTCACTCTGTAGCCCAGGCTGGCCTCGAACTCACAGAGATCCGCCTGCCTCTGCCTCCTAAGTGCTGGGATTAAAGGCGTGCACGCCACCACCGCCGGCTTCTTCTTGCTTTTTTACATTACTGGAGTTGATGGCTTATTTGGACTTAGGTTGGGTTAGTCAGAGGTTGTCTTCCATGTGGTTATTCTCTAATACATGCCCTCTGGTTCTTGGAAGACTGTTGTCTTATTTCACATGCAAATGGGCACAGTCCCATTTGTTTCTGAATGTCATCACTTAGGTAACCTTGCCCTCCACTCTGCTTAATCAGACCTTTCCATGTTTCAGAGCCTGACCCAAATCTTGCAAGTTGGAACCTATTTCAGTACTTGGTAAAACAATGAAAGAATTTTTCTTGGTTCTCCACTATTGTTCCATGTCTGATAGCCTCTTCTAGATCTTAAAGAAAGGAGATTGGTATGCTTAACTCTGGAGATAAAGCAATGCTGAATATGTGGCAGTTGCTCAACAAAAATAGAAATAATGAAATGCCTCGAATAATCCAGCTCCTTAAATTTATGCAAACTTGAGTCCAGAAGCAAAATTACTCCACTTTATACTCTTAGGCTCATACTCTGTTTAGCAGCTTGATACACACTAACTTGTTTGATTTAACTATTAGTTTAAATGAACTGCAACGCTCTTAAGCCTTTTCCAGCTGTGTATTTCTGAATCTTCCTATCGGTAATGAGAATATTGAGGTATCTCCATGTAAGTGACTTGATAGAATTGGGCAGCGGCACATTCAGACTCCTGTAACCTATTTCTGATTTCTTCTGTACAATTTACAGTTACTTAGTAAACCAAATCTGCTGTACCATGTTTTAACACTACTGGCAATCTCAGGTTTTTTTCTCCAGGCACAGACCTTTTCTACTAAAAGCATGGTTTCAATTTATATAATTAGATAGTAGGCAAAACAACAAACTATAAGTTAGCTTGTTAGTCATAAGAATATATTAGGTAAAAGTGGAAACAGATGCAATTTGTAAATGTTAACATATTTAAAATAATTTTTTGCTTGATGAAAGATCTAAATGACTATTAAAAATGTTGAATTTTGAAAAATATATTTGGTTTATTGTTAGACTAAGGTACTAGGTATCTCACATTTTTTTTTTCAAGTTAGCAAGACTTTTTCTTAACTATAAGAACTGCTACTTAAGAAAAATAAAAATGGTATTTTTATTACCTATAATTTTGTTTAAATTATGTATGTGTCTTTGTATGTGGGTATGAGTTCAGTGCATATGTGATTATAGTTCTTTCAGAAGTTATCAGAGCCTCTGGAACTAGAGTTATAGGTCTTCGTGAGCTGCCTGACTTGAATGTGGGACCTAAATTTTGCTCCTCTGTGAGAGTAATGTGTCCTTAACTGCTGAACCATCTGTCTAGCATTAAAAACCACTTTTGTTTTGGAGGGTGTTTGTTTTGTTTTAGTACTGGGTGAGGATTGAACCTAAGACATTACATGTTTGGCAAGTGATCTAAGTGATGTGCCACTGACTGAACTGATAATTTTAAAGCAAGTATTTGATATATACCTTTCTGAGAACTTAAGGTAAGCTATAAAAACATGTTAATAAAAATGGGTTGGCAGCTAAACATCAAGTATAAAGCTAAAAAAAGAAAAACAAGTCATAGTCATAAATATTGTTTCACTTGCCATTGTTTGACAATGATGCCTTTAAAGTTAATTTTCTAGAGTGCCATTACTACATAAATGACAAAGTGTGCACAAAACTATATATATGTGCAGAAAATATAAGAAATATGTTTACTGTTATTACTATTAATGTACATACTAATATGTTTAATCCACATATACTACTACAAAGTTCTGAAGATGCTAATTGTCAATCTTTGACCTTATAAAGGCAAAATTATCCTTGTCTATTTTTATTTGTATGAAAAGTTGATACCTTGTCAGCTTAGGAGAGCCATTTAAAATGCTTTAAAAAGATGGGCAGTGGTGGCGAAATCCCGCACTTGGGAGGCAGAGCCAGGCAGATCTCTGTGAGCTCAAGGCCAGCCTGGTCTACAGACCGAGGTCCAGGACAGGCACCAAAACTACATGAAGAAACCCTGTCTCGAGAAACCAAAACCCCCCCCCCCCAAAAAAAAAATCCTTTAAAAAATCTGGAGCTATATATCAATTAAAATGTGTAGAACCTAATATTCTGGTCAAAGGAAGAAGCTGGAGGAGTTACTTATCTTAAGTCAGGTTTCTTCTGTCAAAGCAGGAAGCTAAACAGAAACGAGGGTTGACTGAGACAAAGGGACTCTCAAGTGGCTATCTATACATTTCAGGTTATTTCAGTATTAATGATCTCATGGAGCCCAAGGCAATTTAAAGGGTATGTATGTGTATCTGTAATTTTTTTTTTTTGAGGGTCATGGAACCTCATGTTTGTGATAATTACTGATAATTCTAATTGTAAGAATAAAGAACATTTAGTATATCTAGCTTTAAATTAATTGAGGCTTGCTCATTAGTAGAGCTGTGGTGTCCTAGACACTCAACTACATTGTTAGTTATGTGACATAGGCTCACAATAAACTTTATCATTAGCTAGCTAACATACAAAGAAACAGTAAATTTTGGTGTAATCTACATATTTGAAAATATCATTTATAGAATATGTTGAACAGGTTCTGTATGAAAAGTCTCTTTGTAATCACTGTCTATTAAATCTTAGAGAAGTATCTTGACCATTATACAACCAATAAATGGAAGTATCATGTATTATCTATTCCCCTACCATACTTTAGTTAAAATTCTGCCATGACTCTCTCCTGTTAATAGCCACTACTTATTTCTCATAGTACTTGGGAGATAGAGATTTATTTGCTTTAGGCAGCAATAGCCCCTCATGAGAGCCCTGTTGAGTACATCCAGCTTCCTTGTAGCAACAGCTAAATAAAGAGCTTGATTCATACCCTTCAGTTCTACAAAATTAGGGTGTAGATGGACATGGGATCCATGTCTATCTCTTCAAAGGGAGTGAGAAGTCACTGCATGCACAGATAAGCTAGAGTTTTGTACAGTGACTGTAATGTGCCTCTCCATCAAATTTAAAATAGACAATTGAATTCTACATTCTGCATGACTTGTTTACTTTCCTATAAAAATATATTAAATATTTAGTATGGCTGAGCTTGAGTCTATAGCTTATTGTCTCCATGAATCTATCCAAATACAAAGTCAAGTTTAGCACTAAGCTAGTAAGAGAACCTTCATTAAGAATTACTCAAGTGAAGGATTTTTTTGTGTGCTAGAGTATGGGTTCAGAAGTTACTACAAAGCAAAGCTTTTCAGTTCCTTGAGGAGCCCACACATGCTCACCAGTAGGTCTATATGGTGACTGCAAAACCTTAACCAAGATCTATCTGGTGTATTAGGAATGTCAAACGTGTGGTGTATGCCTTCAGAGCTCGGTAAGGACAAGGAGAGAAGGTATTCATGAATTATTAACAGAAAAACAAAACTATAATTAAGTTAGTAAGGGCCAAAGAGAAAAGTTAATTTGAGCAGAGTGGAATAACTGGTATAAGAAAACTGGATGAAGATCTTAATTCGGGGCAGAGGGTTTTAGAGCCTTGGTTCTCATCCTCAACTTCACTGAGTGTGCATTTTTTTCATCTTTCCACTTAATGATAATGGAATGATTCTGTTTATGTCAAGCATAGACTGTATATAAAACTTCTGGGCCACTTACTATATACTGTATAGTTCCTCAAGAAATGTGAGCTAATGTTACTCCCGTTAAAATCAAAGGATGCATGTGTTTTCACTGATGGTAAAAATATCATAGATTTTCTGTAATGTCTTAGGTAAGAAGGGACTAGAATAAGGGCAACTAAATGCAAGAGAGTCACAGGATCTGAGCTAGGTACTCAGGACTGGATTGGCACACTGCAAAAGATTATCATTTTCTGTTTGTTTTTATGTCTTAGTTTTAAGTACAAATTTCCAATGATGTGGCACTGAAGAATTATATAAAGCATGGGTAGTTAAAGCAGAAAGTTTTACTTTCACTTTTGACTTGTTTATAATATGATGTAATTATTTGGAGAGCAAGAAAACCTATTAAGAGCAAAGACTTTGCAGTTTAGTAATTGTGGAGTTTAATTTGTTTGATTCACCTCCTAGAAGCATGTGTGCTTGGTCCCCAGCCCGTCTACAGTTTTCAAAGATGTCAGGATTTCTAGG